AACTTTAAAGTAACTACCGCAAAGGAAAACACTACCAATATTGAGATTTACACATATGCATAAGAAAAACACAGGGGAAACCCAATTATATCTGATACTAACAATTGAGATACAGTTCCTTCATAAATAACCATAGATCTAATGTGAACACTGACAATATCTAATATGGACTGAATGTTGATGCTCTGTTAAAATCCATGCATAGGGACCTAATATTCAGGGTGGTTACGTTAAGAGATGTGGTCCTTGGGAAGTGACCTCGTCACAAGAATTCCATTATCGTGATTTGGATTAGTGCCCTTGCGAAAGAGACTCAAAGGAGCTCGCTTTCCTTGGGATGTGTTGGCATGTGGAAATAAGATATCATTTATTAAGCAGAGAGCTGTCACAAAACTAGAACTATTAACAATACATTTATAAATTACCCAAAGTATCTTAGTATAGTATCCCCAAAGGAGTACGACAGAATCCTTCCTAATAAGTACAGCATGTGTCTCAATGGATTACTTGTTATAATATTCTGAAGACTTCAAACTTAAACACAAATTTATATACACCCTCTTCTGAAATCATATTTTTGCCAACTGTCTTCTGTAGGTTGGTAAACCAATATTACATTCATAGTGTAGTTAGCCATTACATTAAAGTTCAAAGTTTAAAGATTTATTTATTTTTATTGGAAAGTCAAATATACAAAGAGGAGGAGAGAGAAAGATCTTCCATCTGATGATTCACTCCCCAAGTGATCGCAGTGGCCCAGTGCTACGCCAGTCTGAAGCCAGGAACCAGGAACCTCCTCCAGGTCTCCCACATGGATGCAGGGTCCCAAGGCCTTGGGCCGTCCTCAACTGCTTTCCCAGGCCACAAGCAGGGAGCTGGATGGGAAGTGGAGCTGCCAGGACTAGAACCAGCACCCATATGGGATCCCAGCACATTCAAAGCAAGGACTTTAGCCGATAGGCCATCATGCCAGGCCCAAAGTTCAAAGTTTAAGCAACTTGTCCACAGCTATCCAGCAAGTTTGTGGTCAAGTAGGCACTAATAACAAGTATCCAAAACGGATAATTAAAATGTTGATGTCTAAAAAATTAGAGAACATTAATCAAATTCATGTTATCATTTTGACCATAACTATAAACCCAATGGAATTTGTTACTATTGCTTGCTTCAGAAGAACAAAAAGATTGAGTCAACAGGCAGGCATTATGGCATAGCAGGTTGCTGCTGCTTGGGATGCTCACACATCAGAGTCCCAATTTGAGTTCTGGCATCTCTGCTTCCAATCCAGCTTTGTGCTAAGGCACAAAGTTAATGAAAACTCCAACATCAGATCCAGTTTTCCTACTTGAGTTCAGCCGTTGTGGACTGAGTCCCTGAGGGAAGGTTCACCCTGAAGCCTCAGCAGAGGGTTTTAGTAATGGAGACATGCAACAGAAGAGACTAATGAAACTGTCTTGAAATGTGAACATGAAGATATGCTGCAGCTGCATGACCTCAGAAAGCACCAGGAGCAAGTCCACACGTTTCAGAAATAACTCCATCATAGCTCTACCATGTGGCCATTTGTCTCTGTGCTAGGCCACAAGAAAACAGTTGTTTTCCAACAGCTCAGTCCCATAAGAGAGTATTCCAACTATCTAAGGAATGAATTCCCTCTTAATTAAAAAAAAGGGGGGAAGATGGTTTTTCGAAAACTTCAAAAGATCCAAAAAGAACAACTGTGTGGAGAAAGAAAAAATTTGTAAAATTTAGAATTTATTTATACCTTTAACACTCATATACAGTCAGTCACTAAACACTCGCACTTCAGAAGGCAGCAGATAATGGCCCAAGTGCTTGGGTCCCAGCCATCCACATAGGAGACCCAGACAGAGTTTTAGACTCCTGGCTTTAGCCTGGCCCAGCACCAACCTTTGCAGACACTTGGGAAGTGAATCAGAGATGGATGACCTGTCTTTCTCTCTTTCCCTCTTTCTCTGTCACTATACTTTTTAAACAAATACATCTTTTATAAAATGACTAAGTCAAATGCTAGACTGCATATTTCAAATTACGAATTGTATAGTGGGATTCCTCTTCACTGTATGTCCATGTAGAGCTTCAGGTATTACGGTGAATTAAGGGTAACTTTAAAGCTTTATTCTAGTCCTTTCATACATCATGTGACGTTTTTCTTCTCAGTTGATACAGCAGAAATAAGTTTCACTACAGACATCTGATCTTTTTTAGAAGAGGCACACAGCACCATTTTTTCTATTTTAATAGTAAAGGGCTATGTATGAAGGAAGAATAATAACAGTTAAATAGTTACCCTATTTACACTGATGACAATAGAATAAGGAATTCCCTTATCCTGCAGGGGGAAAGTTCTCAGTGAGATAGTAATTACTACATTGTGTCAGGAATTATTTACCAGAAGCCCTTACTGATAATTTGAAGAAAAAGGAAAAGTTGTCTTTATGGACAGGTTGGAATAAGGATCACTACTTGGCACCTTAATGATCCTTTTAATTGTAAAATTCTATGTTTTTCTCAAATAAGCAACCATACCATTCCAATAGCCATGTTTGTGAGAAAACATAAAAAATGTCCAAGGAGTGGTATTTGGTGCAGCAGCTAGGACACTGCTTGGGATACCCACACCCCTCCCACGCTGGAATAGCTAGATTCAAATCCCAACTCCACTTGGATTCCAAGGTCTTGCTAATGTGCAACCTGGAAAGCAATACACAATGGCTCAAATTCTTGGGTCCTGCCATCCCCATAGAAGACTTGGATTTAGTTAGCTCCTGGCTTTTAGTTGACTCAGCTTCTGCTGTTGTGGACACTTGAGGGATGAACCAACAGACAGAAGATTCCTGTTACTTTCTCTTCCTCTTTTAAGTATTTCTTTCTCTTCTACCCCTTCCACAACCCCTTCTCTTTCTGTCATTCTGTATCTCTGTCTCTCTCTGTGCCTTTCAAACAAAATTAAAATGATTTAAAACAGCATTTATAAAAGCAAAGCAAACATAAAAGGTAGAAACGCAGATTCATCATAGACTAAATATAGACTCTGACCTGAGTACTGTGTCATAAAAGAAGACTTACTTGCCCTAAATCATCCCTGACTCCTTTAGAATAGCAAGAACTTTAGCATAGTATTGATACACATTGATGACAAATAGCAACCCACATTATATCTTACTAATGCTTAGAAAAAAGAGGCAAATGTCGATGGGCAAAGAGTAAGTAGAACTAAATTCTTCCTCAGCCGTGATAAATACAGAACTTGCTCTGGACAAAAGTGAGGAATAAACCCAATTTATTCTGAGAATCCTGCCTAATTGTGTGCTGGTATGTATCTCAAACCGCTAATACTAACAGATCTCAAATGTAGTATCTCCTCTTTTTTTCAGGATTTATTGATTTTTATTTAAAAGGCAGATTTACAGAGAGAGGAGCAGAAAGGGAGGAAAAAAAGAAGAAATCTTCCACCCTCTGGTTAGCACCCCAAATAACCACAATGGCCCAAGCGAGGCTTATCCAAAGTTAGGAGCCTAAAACTTCTTTTGGGTTTCCTATGTTGGTAGAGGGACCCAAGGACCTGGGTCATCTTTTGATGTTTTCACTGGCACATTAACAGTGAGCCAGATTGGAAGTAGAGCAGTTAGAGTTCAAACTAGCACCCATATAGTATGCTGGCACCACAGGCTGAGGCTTAACCTACTATTACTTTGGCCCCATTCTATCTCCTCTTTCTTAACCCAATCAAACCCTTTTCTCAAGGAGAACCAAAGAGTGGTCACACATACCACATTCAAAATGTTTAGAACAGCAGCTTGCTCATAGCAAATGCTTTATGTGTTGGTTCTTACTATTTTATTATATAACTTATATTTGCACTGTAAGTCTATTTTAGATTAAAAGATTCTGTCTGTTACTAGAATTTGAATTACCAGTAAACAGATGCAGGATAATATTTTGGGAAATTCCTGGAATAAGATTAATGTAGGCACATACCTACTCATTAAGCCTAAATAAATACTTTTCTACCAAGTAATGTCTACATGTCCTGACAAAATTACCAAACCTGACCACCTAAGAAAGTTACACCAACCTGGTCAGAGTAAAGGATTTTATATGGTTTCTATATGCTTAAATATCTCCTCTAGGGTACCTGCCCATGAAGGTGAAATAACGCCATGAAACAGATGATTCTACTCCATCAGTCTGGTACTCATGCCACCCACTTCAACCCAACATCTGCTAAGCTGAAGTTTCTTCTGTATTTACTTCCTGCACAAAAATGGAAACCTGAATACTATAATGACCCACAAATTAAAACAGAAAATAACCTGCAACTGTGAACATTAGTCCTTAATTGCACAGATTGTTTATCTGGTTGTTTTGAGTGTTTCAAAACTCTTTTAGAATAACAGTGCAAAACAAAAGGGACATGTGCCAGAAAGATTCAGACTCCTTGCTAAAGAAACCAAGTCATATTTTTTACCTCCCGTTGACAGGCCACTGTGACTATGCTCTCCTGCCTTTGCCCAAACCATACTCCTTCGTGGAATTGATTGTTTGACTGATACTCCACTTCCACTCTCATTAGGAAAAAAAAAAAAAAGCCTTCACATGAAGAATGATGCAATACAAATCTATTTGGGGCTCATTTCTCACTATCCTGTTTGCTGGAGAACTTTTAATCAAATAGAAAACCTCCAATCTTGGAATACTATTTCCTTTTTGGTCTTCTCTTCTCCATCTCAGTAATTCATTGCTCTTCCCCGACATGAGCTTGCTAAGCTCACAGTTGAAAATGCATGTCTAAAATAAAGAGGCCTGCAACAGAAGCTCATGTAATCCCACTCTTTAAATATCACTAAGACATCTGAGATATTGTTTAGATTGTGGACTCTTACTTTGACATGCCAGAATAGGTAGACGGACAGGCAGGCACATCAGATGTCACTGTTTGGCAGCTGATAAAAGTCAGTGGTGTTATAATACTAAGCACACAGCCACTAGATTAGTTTGTGAGGGAAGGAGATGTATCTTCCTTCCCTTTGATAGTGGGTTAAATTCAGCTGGTACCCTCTGGAACTACAGGTAAGTTTCTCCTTTATTCTTGCTACAGTTTGACGCTTTGTTATTGATTTATTTTTTGGCCAAATTAGAAGTGTATATAAAGGTGATCCTCATATAAAAAGTCTGGAAATCACAATATCATAATTTTCATGATTTAAAGCAAAAGTGACCTATTTAATCCATCAAAACTAGAAGGCATTATACAACAGATAAATAGCTATTTTAAAGCATTATTCGATCCTTGAAAAGGAAGATTTTTCAAGATCTGTCATTGTGACAGTGTTTTATGTTTATACATTTCGTGCTGCAGAAGCGGGAAAAGTATTAAATTTTTAAAATGAGATTGAATAGAATTTATATTTATGATATTCCTGAAATTCACTTAACATGATCTGAAGTAAAATGACACTGTCATAGAATCTTAAAGAACTGAGCCTTGGGACAATAACTACAAGCATGATGGAAAATCTGCCGGAGTTACTTACGTAAATGTCTGTATAAAATTTTGTTGAAACTAAACAAATAAAAAAAAATTTTTACAAATAAAACTTGTTAAAAATATAATTTTAACTATGTAGGCTGATACCAAAATGTCTAAGATAAATGACATTCTCAAAATGCATGTAAAGAAAAACAGGGAACTCTTTTCTTTGGAAAAGAGCTGTTATTTCTTAGACAGTTTATTTCTTACTGTTTGAAATGGGCTGCATAACTTGCCTACCCAGAAAAGAATTTAGGAACCGAACTCCGAATTCAGTTCATAAATAAATAAATAAATAAATCTGTAACTACGAAATTACTTGCCTTGCAGTAGAACTCTTAACTTGAAAATATCTAAATGAAACCCTCATCCTGAATGTCTTCCCCCGCCACCCCCCAACAAGTTAAAGGCCTAATGTGGCTCATTTGTAAAATGCAGTTTGCTTTTCTGTTCGTAACTTAAAATTGGCAGACACACAGCTTTTAAGTTTTCTTTTTCATATAGTTTTCTTGTTGGCAGTTTAATTGGGTTTTTTCCTCCTTCCTAAAACTGATAGTTTTAACTTAATTCCACACAAAAAACTTTACGTTAAAGGTATTTGATCTGGAAAAGTTTCATTAACAATATTTTCCTCAAGATAGTAATGTACATGATTGTTGAGACCTTGTTTCAGTGATGATACACAATCTGGTTAATTTCCTAGTAAAAATTTGATGTGTCATCTCAGCACTGGTTTACACTATGTCAAACAAGCTAAATGTTTTTCAAATTAAATTATCTCGTAGTCTTAATAAAATCAAATCAGTGTTAACAATTCATATGACCAAGTTTTTTTTAAATACAATCCTGATTAGATTTACTGTACTAATGGGAAAAAGAATTGGCAGGAAACACAAATATAATTTTTCAATGTTGATTTTAATGGTAAATGATTTACCTAATGGATAATGGGAATCTACCATAGGAAGTGAGTAACGCCAGTGGAGAAGTAGGAGAAATGGCGCTCATATTTTGCTGGAAGACTAACGTCATGGATCCCTTATTTACTGCTAACCTTCCGGTGTGCTATTTTGAAAGAAAAAGGAGATCACGAACTAAAACAACTTCCAACTTAGTCAAATACTTATTAAATAAGTAAAAATAAATTTAAAATATAACTCCAAAAGTTAAGAGAATATCAGGACTAGTAACTACAAAATAAAATCTAAAAATAACAAAAAAAATTACCAACAGTTCAGGAATGCAGTCAGTAATGTATTATAAATACACACGTCCAAACCGTGTTATAAATACACAGTGCAAACTCTTTGATTATCAGCTAGTTTGGTAAATGGCCAATTTTGAATCAAGGGGAAGAAAATGAGCAGTGAATTCTATGATTTTTTTAAATTCCACTTAAAGGTGGACAGCACATTATTTAGATCATGACTTTACTTTGTGAATGAAACTCAGAAATGCTAAAAACCAAAAAGTAACATTGAAATATTCTTTACAAAAGAAGCATGTTTACCAACATATTGTTGATCAAAAGGGCTATTAATATATTTTTGAACAACTGGGAGAATTTACAGTAAATGCAAGTTTGACACATTAATATTTAGTATTAACCGTAAATAACTAAATCTCTGTGGCTAACAAAAATGACAGCAAAAGCTAATCATGAGACTTTAAAATGATCATCACACTGAGCATCACCACAGAATTTCTATTCACAGTTTTGACAGTCAACTGTGTCCCACAGCTGGAAACCAGTCTCTGAGTAGGCTTTCCTTTTTTCTCAAGGGAAATATCATTTGTGCAAAACAAGAGGAAGGAGCAGTATAAAACAGAAAATTTCTACTCTGAGGCAGCCTTAAAGGCACCTAAGCTATAAAAAAGTAAATAAAGTCCTAAAGATACTAAACAAAATGTTGCTTTGCCAAAAATCCTAACTTGACTCTTATCTCCCTCTAAAGGAACACTGTTCTTCAAGAGAAAGTCACTCCACCAAAGCCAGGAACACTGTGTTCTCAAGACCTCAACAAACAAAAGCGCATCAAGGTTGCTACCTATTCTTTGCAACTCTCAGGATTTACAGGCACTCAGTCCCAAATTCAGTACCCCATTCTTCCAGGGATAAATCATCATAGTAATAACTCATCTTAAAACTACCAGCTAAGCATGTTTAACTATGAACGTCCGAAACACTTCATCCAGTCCCAAAATCCACACGGCTCCAGATCCCAGCCTCCTGGATCGGAAACCTCCAGCTTCTCCAACCAGACCAAACAGTCTTCTATTACCATCCATCCCCGCCAGTGCACAGAGCAAAGATTTTCTGCCTCCTCAACAATGAGCTCTCATATCACCATGTCCTCCTCTGCCTTCCCTGCTTCTCCCCAGCAGCCCCTTGGCTCCACCCAAGGCCAAAGGGTTACAGCTACCTATAATCAGTCCCCAGCCAGCTTCCTCAGCTCCATATTACCATCACAGCCCGACTACAGCAGCAGTAAAATCCCTTCCATGGTGGACTCCAAGTAAGTGAATTTTTATATACTACGCATCCAGTGAGTTTACAGACAAGGAGTCTTAAGGGCATTCTTTAATGTTCAAAAAGGCAACGCAATCACTCAATCTTATTTGATACCTGTCCTAGAATGCACAGAACCATGTTATTGGCATTGCAAGTTATTTTGACCCATTCTCTACTGTCCAAAAATTTAAAAAAAAAAATTTTTAACTTGTCCAACAATGAACTTTGCCACTAGCTGCACACTAAGTTCCTCATGCTGTAAATTGAATTCCGCTGGTCTAGGCTCAACAGAGGAAGAACACCTGTCTGTTTCCCTGCAGCTAGAATTTCCTCTCACATAGCAAAGGCTATTAAGTTTCTTGTCAAGTCTTGGGCTTTTCTTCCTGTCCCTTCCCCCTCCACTCCTGAACATCCACCTGAAAAAATCCAACTTAAGAAAAAAGGTTGAAATTAACAAACTTTTAAAAAATAAAATTCAGACACATGTATGAATTTTCCTTCCTAGGATCAGGAGCAAGGCTTAAATATATGAAGGCTTATGGCCTCCAGTTTCCCTAAGGCTGTCCAAGCAGAATTCAAAACAAAGGATACCATAATTGTCCTTTTTTTAAACATGAACTGAATACTTCTGTAAACATGCAAAAGTGGGAAAATACTTTTTCTTCTTCCTCTGAACATCAGAAAATTAAATCGAAGGCATCTCAAAATTTGTCTGATGGGATGTTTTCCTGCAGCCTTACTGACATAGTCACAATTCCTCTTTTTCCCAGTCCTCTCTAGACATTAAATTTTTTCTAGAATTCCAATTATTGGCAGCAGCTCTAGAAACCTACTTGAACTGAGTACAGCAACTCAAATTGAAAAGTAACCTCAATATTTTTAGAAGTAAAAATTAAGAAAGCTCAAATAAATGATAGAATCATATGGGGTTTTTTTTCAGTCATTTAAAACGGCTCACAGTCAAATGCTTTTTATCTGTAATAATGCATTTGCATGGTTTTGACCTTTTTTTAAAGATCACTTTAAAAATTAAGAACCCACTATCTCTTCTTTCCCATATTTCCATTTTATCCAAATCAGCCTGTAGCTCTTCCTTGGTTACATTTATCCAAATGACCATTTTCCATCTATCTTTCTGTTATTTCCAAATTTCTTATGTGACCATTTTTTAATCTGAAATAACCTTTTTTGACTATAATAGTTTTCTTAAGAAAGACTTTGCAACCCTTTTCCAAATTCTTGCTGGGTGTAGGGCTAACAAACAAATATTCACTAAGCCAACTATGTCCCTAGCTCTGTGCATAGACCTAAGAAAAGGGGAAGAAAGGCAAAAAGAGAGAATAGGGACTGGCATTGTGGCATACAGGATGAGCTGCTGCCTTCAGTACCAGCACCTCACAAAGGTTCCGGTTCATCTCCAGCTGCTCACTTCTGGTCCAGCTGCCTGCTAATGCATCTAAGACAGCAGTGCCAGATGGCCCCATGGTTGAGCTCCCTGCCTGTGCCCTGGGAAAGCAGTAGAGGATGGCCCAAACCATTAGCACCCTACACTCACACTGGAGACTGGAAGGAAGCTCCTGGCTCCTGGTTTCGGATCAGCTCAGCTCTGCCCATTGCAGCCGCTTGGGAACTGAGACAGCAGACAGAATATCCTTCTCTCTGTCTCTCCTTCTCTCTGTAAATTTGACTTTCCAAATTAAAATAAATAAATCTTTTTTTTTAATTACACAAAGTGATTCTTCCATTTGGTTTTGATCATCTTTCATGATTTTTCAGCTATGACAGCCCTTTTTTTTTAATTTAAGATTCATTTATTTTTATTTGAAAGGCAGATATACACAGAGGAGAAGCAGAGAGAAATATCCTCCATCCACTGGTTCACTGTTTAAGTGGCCGCAATAGCCAAAGCTAAGCCAGGAGCTTCTTCCAGGTCTCCCACAATGGTTCCCAAGGCTTTGGTCCAACCTCAACTGCTTTCCCAGGCCACAATCAGGGAGCTGGATGGGAAGTGGAGCAGCCAGGATTAGAACCGGTGCCCATATGGGATCCCAGTGCATTCAAGGTGAGGACTTTAGCTACTAGGTTACTGCACCGGGCCCTAGTGATCTGATCTTTAAAATCAAAAAGCCACTTACTTAAAATCTTGATTTGGCTACTAACTGAACAAGTCAAAATTTAGTTAGGAATTCATGCTGACATGATTAAATCTGAAATGTAAAGAGAAGTATGTTTCATCAGCTTTTAATACAAACTATATTGATAACAATGAAGAAACATCCATTTATGCAACTAACAGGCTCTCCTTTATTCATGCTGTGCATTAGCAAATATAAATGATAGAATAAGTAATAAAGCACCTTTTCTTCGTTATATTTATAATTTTATGGTTATTAACCAAGTCTCAAAGCCAGCAAAATCCTCTCAGAGGAGATTTGTTTTCATTTACTTAAAAAGTTTATACAATTTCCTTAAGAATATTTGTGCAAAAATATGTCAGAAAACAGGCTTCAGCCGCCCCATTTGGAGAACACTCATAATGGTCAAACATTCAATGAGGGAGCCTGGCATAATGGCACAATTAGTTAATCCTCCCCTTGAAAGGCCTGGGATCCCACATGGACACCAGCTCATTCCCTGGCTGCTCCACTTCATCCAGCTCTCTCTTTGTTGCCTAGGAAAGCAGCAGATGGCCCAAAGCCTTGGGACCCTGTACCAAAATGGGTGGCTTGGAAAAAGCTCCTAGCTCCTGCTTTCAGATCAGCAGAGTTTGGTCATTGTGGCTATTTTGGGAGTAAACCAAGGATGGAAGATCTTTGTCTCTTCTCTGAAAATATGCCTACCAATAGAAATAATTAAATCTTTAAAAAAATAAATTGAGGTCTGGAGCCATTTTCTGACATAAAATATACTGATATAAGCAAACCACTCCAAGCCACAAATGAATAAAGGTGAAAACTGAACAAAGCTCTGTGAAAAAGCAGCTAACAGATCTAAACATAGAGGATTTCCTAAATATGGTCCCTAAACTCTATCAAAATAAACACAAGGAATTCTGGAAGGGTGAAGGGACTCATTTTGTTTATTTATTTATTTATTTTAAGAGAGAGAACTGGAGGGGGAAAAAAAAAACAGTATTATCAGTCACATCACTGGTTCATTCCCCAAATATCCGCCATGAACATGGCAGGGTAGTCCTAGTCCCTAGGGAGGCAGCCAGGATTCAAACTCATGCCCTTTGATATAATATGTGTGTTTCAACAACAACAAAAAAAATTTAATTACTATACCAAATCTTTCTTTAGGAAACCTCTCAATTCTTTTCATTTGTAAAGAGAAAAATAATGCGGTAACAATTCCTATAAACCCTTCTTGATTATTACTAGGACAATGCATTTTAAGTAACATTAGTAGCACTACATAGCAAACTCAACATAGCCAAGGATGAACTACAAAATTATGCCAATTCTGTTTTGGATACATTTTAAGAATTTTTCTTAAATATTCTATTTTTTCCTTTATAAAGCTACCAGCCATCTTCAGTTGGCCAACCTGTAATTGCTCAGCCATCCCAAACTGCAAATGCGAAGCCCACTCCAAGGACTCCTGACCATGAAATACAAGGATCAAAAGAAGCTTTGATTCAGGATCTGGAGAGAAAGCTGAAATGCAAGGACACCCTTCTTCATAATGGAAATCAAGTGGGCAAGATGTCCATTTTGTACAAAAAGCCAACTTAACTATAATCTAAATTCAATGAATTCTGTGCCCATAAATTCAGCAAAGGATTGTCTACAAAGAAGGAATGGTTCTTATTCCATATATTGCTGTATGATATTATTTCTTAGTTTTCAGTAGTAAAAGCATACAAAACAAAAATCTATCTAAATGATTTAATGAAAACTTCACTTGAAATACTGCCCTCTTAGAAAGTGCCTGATAGCCTAATAACTAATCAGAAATGCTGTCAATTCCAATTCTTCATGCATTCTGATGTTTAATAATAATGGGCAATTGATAAGGGCTTTGTTTTTTTAGTAGTACCTATTGTACACATTGTATTAGTCACTTATCTCTGAGACATTACTATTCCAAAGCAGGAGGAAGGAGAATTTTCCCATTACTTTGCAGAGTTTTCTTTAAAAGTACTATGTCTGCATTTGTTATAAGCAAAAAGCTTACAAAGCTTTTTACCATATATGAGGGATTTGGCACTAAAATGAAATGTTCTGAATGTAAGAAAAGCCTTTTGAAAAACACAAGATCTAGAATTCAGTACATACACCTGCATTTCTGTGTAGCTCTGAATTACGGTGGTGGTTTTAAGATAGACCTGTGTATACATATATTTTATTAAGTTGCATTACTATGAACTCAATAACGTATCTCTTTAAAGCGGCTAACATATGAGGAGAAGATGGCTCGCAGATTGCTGGGACCACAGAACGCAGCTGCTGTGTTTCAGGCTCAAGATGACAGTGAGGCACACGATTCATCACAGGTAAACTAAAATAACCTTCATCTAACCACAACACTTTGATTTTATGTGGCTTAAGTGTCTGCTTGCGCAGGTAAATTAAAATAATATTGATTCAACTAGAACACTTTCATTCTGTGTGACTGTTTTTCCAAAATGCTTACAAATATCATTTGAGATAAAAATCAAGCACATACTCCAGTAGATTATAGATAAAGGTTATAATGGACAAAAAACATACAGAATTTGCATAGTTATGTATGTTATTTACATGATATATAAATATTTTAAGATTTATTTATTTTTACTGGAAAGGGGGATTTACAGAGAAGAGGAGAAACAAAGAGAGACAGACATTTCATCCACTAATTCACTCCACAAATGGACACAAAGGCCAGAGCTAAGCCAATCTGAAACCAGGAGCTAGGAACCTTTTCTAGGTTTCCCACTCAGGTACAGGGTCCCAAGGCTTGAGCCATTTTCCACTGCTTCCCTAGGCCATAAGGAAGGAGCTGGATCAGAAGTGGAACAGCTGGAACACAAACTGGCACCCAAATGGGATGCAGGCACTTACAGGTGGGGGATTAGCCAGTTCAGTCATTGTGCTGGTCCTTCGATATGTAAATTATATATACAGACACATAATTCAAAATTTTAGCCTGAGTCAAAACATCAGAAGGCCAATGGTATTTATACGTCACACAGTTAAACCTAGGACTCTCTACAATGTTTCTATGGACAGAGAATTTACATAGTACATTCAGGACTGAAATTAAAACTCTAAACCAAAATAATCTTTTAAGTTGTTGATCACTGCAAAGTTCATACCTGTGTGCCCAGCACAATAGCGTAGCGGTTAAGCTCCTTGCCTTGAACACTCTGGGATCCCATATGGGCGCCGGTTCTAGTCCCGGCTGCTCCACTTCCCATCCAGCTCCCTGCTTGTGGCCTGGGATGGCCCAGAGCACTGGGACCCTGCACCCCACTTGGGAGACCCAGAAAGAATTTCCTGGCTCCTGGCTTTGGATCGGCACAGCACCAGCCATTGCAGTCACTTGGGGAGTGAATCATCAGACGAAAGATCTTCCTCTCTGTCTCTCCTCTCTCTGTATATCTGACTGTTCAGTAAAAAATAAACCTTTTTAAAAACAACAACAGGGGCCAACACTGTGACACAGTAAATTAAGCTGTTGCCTATAGCATCCCTTTGGATGCTGATTCTAGCCTAAGCTGCTCCGTTACTAATCCAGCTCTGGGATTAGTAAAGGCAGCAGAAGACATCCCAAATTCTTGGGCCCTGCCACTCCCATTGGCGACCCAAATGAAGTTTCTGACTCCTAGTTTCAGCCTGGCCTACCCCTGGCCATTGTGGCCAATTTGGAGAGTGAACCAGTTAATGTAAGAGCTTTCACTCTCTCCCTCTCTCTGTACCTCTGCCTTTGAATCAAATCAGTCATAAAAACTGTCACGGGTAATGGTTCTAGGATTGACAGAATCATCCTTCCACAGGAGGGGCTAGCTGTATGGAGGGCATCAAAGGTATTTATGCAGGCTTGTGCCTGGCCAGCCTGATCCTGACAAGTAACTCAGACCGAAGCGTTATCACTACCTTCCTCCTGAGTTACCTTTCAATCCCTCTCTCACCAGAAACTAGGAGTCAGAGAGATGAAACCATAAACTGCAGAGTCTAAGCCTCCAGAAATGAAAACTGAAATTAAGATTTTTGTTTCTATTAAATATGACTAGACCTACTAAAAAGTATGCAGCAAGGTCTAACAGAGCAATAACTAGAAACTGAAAACACAATTTCATGTTAGCTACTGAACAAATCAGTAGTTCATTCATTCAACAGATTCACATGGAGCAGCCACTACAGGATGGGCTCTGGGGGAGATCACAACCAGAACGAGAAATAAATTCAATTCTGTTAGTAGAGATTAAGTGAAAACAAAGGTTTAGTAGTATAGTGATGTAAGCCAACTCCAAGAACAAAGATGTTGTTTTTCTCATCATTATTTTTAAATCAAGCTGATAGGGGGGAAAAGATGGTAACAGAAACATTCTGTAATGAAATCAGAAAAGTATCCCAAATAATACAAAGTATCATCAAACTGTTGTGTGACTAAAATAACATCTTGGACAAAACCATTTACTTGTTCAAACCACTATTACAGAAAAAAAGGCAAAAAGTTAATGTTATTATTTTTAATTGTATTTTTAACAGAAAAAAAGTTGTCTGATCACTGAATTGACTAATTTTTTTTTACAATTTGCCTAAAGAATCTCTCAAGGCTAACCAATAAAAACTTAGCGTTTGTCTTTAAAATGACAAAATTCATTCAACACATTCATCCTCAAGTATGCTATTCATACTTAGATTTTTCTTGTTCTACTCAGATACATTTCAGATATTTGGGTTGGGACTCTATTTTCCGCTGCTTTTCATATTATACTGTGTTGAGTACAGTGAAATGCACAAAGTAGGCATTAAGCATTTAATGGATTACTCCCCCATTATAATTTTCATCAATTCCTGATTTTAGTTCTCAAATAAAAATAATCTTCTGGTGTTTGAATATTAATCCTTAAATGTACTTTTATTAAACAGGAAGTAATTAATGTTGTCTTTCGTAACTCCGCACAGGATTTTGTTCCAGGAGCTAAAAAGAGAACTATTTTCCAGTCTAGTGTTTACTGCTGCTGGTGCCACTTTTAAGCAGCAGGCGTAATGCTCTGTCACTTATGCCAACACAAGTGACTTCATGTCTATTCCTGTTTTACTAAAAGGACAATCTGTACTCTGTGTTCCTGTTTCAAACACACCAGGTGACACAAAACCGTTTGTAACAGAGTAAACTGAAAAATGAACCATCATCAAACTCGGGTCTAGCTTTGTTCATAAATAACAACCACAGTAGCATATACTCTTGCCATAATAACAGGAAATTAGTGCACTACATTTTAAATGCTTAAAAAGTGAATATAGGCACTGGGGTTGTGAAATAGCAGGTTAAGCCACCATTGCCTGAAACGCTGCCATTCCCTATAGGTATTGGTTCATGTCCCAATCGCTGCACTTTTGATCCAGCTCCCAGGTAATGGCCTGCGAAGGCAGTGGCAGACGGCCCAAAGCCTTGGGTCCCTATCATCCAGTAGGAGACTTGGATGTAGCTCCTTGGTTCCGGGCTGCAGCTATTTGGGGACTGAACCGACAGATGGCAGACTGATTCTCTCAAAATTTTCTAATACTGCCTTGAAAGAAATCTTTTTTTTTAAAAGTAGACATACAAACTATGACTACACAAATATAGCCAAAATAGAAATGTTCAACTACTCCTGCTCAGTTCTGCTTCATTTTAAGTTAAACACATATTAACATTTTCTTTGCTTTCATTTCAAGCAGCACAACTCAGAACATGCACGACTACAAGTTCCTACGTCACAAGTAAGGTAAAAAAAAAAAAAAACTTTTAATTTTAAAGAAATACATGTTATGCTATCTAAGATGTTTCCATGTTAATATTTATAAAGTACTTTAGCTTACTACACATCTTTTTAAGAATATAATGGGAATTTTTCTAGTGCCTAAGATGATGACCAAAAGTTTTATATTAATTATCTGAACTATCTCAGAAGTTCTTCAAATGTATTGGTCAAATAAGCTAGAATCATGTTTCTATGTTAAACAAATTAAAAACAAAACTTTCATGACAATGAAAACTCAAAAGTATACAATCTTTATAGATGATAAAAAGTATCTATAAAGTATTCTATATTTAATTCAATTCATGGCACTTAAAAAAAACAGAAACAAAGACATACAAGTTGCACCAGGTGCTTTGACATTGCCACCACTTCTAATAAATATCAAATACTCTCTCTAAGGCCTTACTCCATTGTTATTTTGCTACCAGATCAGACAAGACTCTGGGCTTTCAAACTTGATGTATAAATTCTCATATTGATGTGAAAATAAAAGCAATAACAGCTGAATGCAGTTATATTTACAATGTCTTCATAGAAGCAGATCATCTTCGAGGGCAGATGTGAATGATCAGGACGCCATCCAGGAGAAATTTTACCCACCACGTTTCATTCAAGTGCCAGAGAACATGTCAATTGATGAAGGCAGATTCTGCAGAATGGACTTCAAAGTAAGAGTTTAAAAATATTGGGGATACTGAGCTTTGAAAAATGTTCTCTTCCTACTTGTACCTTGCTACTCAGCTTGAGAAATACTGAGCAGTGGATTAGAATACAGAGTCAGAGCCAGACCTACCGGGGTCTGACTCTTGGCTCTGCTACTCTACAGCTGTGTAACTTAGACAATTAACTGCACTGTGCTTTTGTCTCCTAATCCATCACAGGGAACTAACAAACACACTCACCTCACAAAGCTATGAAAATTAACCGAGTACATACCAATACCTAATATTCTATGTAAGTAAGACTATCACAAAGATCTCTAAAACTCCATGCTTCTAAAATTCTTTTCCATCTAGAAATTCAAGCCATCCCGCTTTCTCTTAGCCTAAAGAGTTCTTTAGGCTAGAACAACACTTCATAAGACTGTTCATTTTTATTAGTCTCATTTTGGAGAACGTTTTCTTATACAATGCATTTTCTGGGTTGCTTATGAATGACAGTTAGTATTAAGGCTTAGCACTGAATTTGTTAAGAGTCATAAAACATTTAAGATACCAACTATTCTATTTTAGAAAGTATTTCCTTAAGGACAGGCACATACACAGCAATTAAGATACTATTTGGAACCCTGCATTTCCCCATCAGCCGAGGTCTGACCCAGCTCCACCTCCAATCCAGGTTCCTGCTAATACATGACATGCAGGCAGTGTTGATGGCTCCCACACGGGAGACCTGGACTGAATTTCTGACTTCCAGCTTTAGCCTGGTCCCACCTTGCTGTTGTAGGCATTTTCAGAGTGAATCAGCAGGTAAAAGATAGTGGAAAGAAGATAAACTCTCTTGTGTTTTCTCTATCTCCCACTCTCTCTCAGCCCTTTAAATAAATAAAGATGAATGGAAAAAAAATTTTAAGTCATTTTAATATTAAATCAGCAGATCTCATATGTCTCTACCATGACTTCACATTCACAATTAGCCAGAAATGCCATATGAATTCCATGTTCCTTCTGGAGACACATATAACAAGAATTAATGTTCTAACTATAGTGGCTGATATTCTTTTTAAAAATATACTTATTTGGGGCCTGGTACAATAGCCTAGTGACTAAATCCTTGCCTTCAATGCACTAGGATCCCATGTGGGCACCGGTTCGTGTCCCAGCAGCCCTGCTTCCCATCCAGCTCCCTGCTTGTGGCCTGGGAAAGCAGTTGAGGACGGCCCAATGCCTTGAGCCCCTGCACCTGCGTGGGAGACCTGGAAGAAGCCCCGGGCTCCTGGCATGACATTGGCTCAGCTGCTGTCATTGTAGCCACTTGGGAAGTGACCCAGTAGATGCAAGATCTTTCTCTCCTCTCTGTATATCTGCCTTTCCAATAAAAAAATAAATAAATAGATATTTTTAAGTAGATGCTTTATTATATATATTTCAAAGAATAAGAGAAAGAGAGAGACTGAAAAAAAATGAGAATGAATCTTCTATCTGCTGGTTCACTCACTAAATGACTACAAATGCAAGGGCTTTTGGTCAGGCCAAAGCCAGAAGCCTGAACTCCGTCTTCTGAGCTTTCCCAGGCAGCATCTGCAGGAACGTGGATAAGGGAGCAGTCAGGACTTGAACTAGTGCTTATATAACATGCCAGCATCACAGGCAGCAGCTTAATGTTATGCACTACAACCCCCAACCCCTGAGATCTTCAGCAGCCTGAGACTGCATGTGAATTAGCTAGAAGTCGTTTAAGGTAATCTAAAAGTTTTACACTGATTTCACAGGACTTAACTTCCTCCTGCTTTTTGAAATTATGAAAACCTTTTGAAGTGTCTGCATTTTCAAACACAAAGCCCCTTAGAAACTGAACTGGTGAAATTCATAAATGGACAAATGGAATACTAATGGACAACTTGGGAATTTTGTCATCTTGTATTTTCTAGGTGAGTGGACTGCCAGCTCCTGATGTATCGTGGTATCTAAATGGAAGGCCAGTCCAATCAGACGATCTGCATAAAATGATAGTGTCTGAGAAGGGCTTCCACTCACTCATCTTTGAGGTCGTCAGAGCTTCGGACGCAGGGGCGTATGTGTGTGTCGCCAAGAACAGAGCAGGAGAAGCCACCTTTACTGTGCAGCTCGACGTCCTTGGTAAGCCTCCACAGAAGTCTGAGGGATCCTTACCACAGCCACCCTGAGTGCGTTCTTCTAAGGTATTGTAAAAGAGAGTATTCAGAAGGAGGAAAAGCCCAGGGGACTTTAATATGCACACAACCTAGCAGAATGCCAAATTTTTATCTTCAAGCCACAGAACAAAAATGAAAAGGTCATTTTTGAGGCAATCAGTGAAACTAGAGCGATTAATCTATCCTTAAGGCCTTTCAGGAAAGAAATGCAGGAATAAAGGAAGGAGTGAGTAAGATCAATTCTAGACAGACCAACTACTGCAGCATTAGCACTTCTAAATGTTAACAATAGGGTTTCAAAGTGAAAGTTTTAGCTTAATAATTTCTCTGCTCTCTAATTTAAAATAACCAATCTGACTTAATTTTTATAAAATTGTCATAAGGTTGCAACGACTGCAGTCAGTCAGGGTCTGAGCTCTAGCTGTTTCCAACTCGAGCTTCGATGATATACAGTGTGTGAGGCAGCAGGATATTGGCTCAAGTAGTTGGGTCCCAACAATCCCTGTAGGAGATCTGTAATGAGTTCCTGGACTCCCAGCTCCAGGACTTGGCCAGAGAGTAAATCAGAAAATAGGGGCTCAGTCAGCCAAATGCCCCAGTGTCTCTCTGTCCCTGCCTCACTCCCCCGCTTGTCTCTCAAGTTAAAAAAAAAAAAGTAACTAAAAGCAAATGTCAAAGTCTTAGATTATGTTCTCTTTACTCAGAAGTTATTTTATAACAACATGCCTACTTGCTTTAGAAAACTAGTTTAATAAAGCACATATTTCAAATTTGTCTGTAGTAAGGAAGTTCTCATAAACCTGGATCCGGTTTTAAAAATTAGATATATCACGTGTGTAATGGTTTAAGCCATAGTATGTTATACAAAAGATGTTTCACTGTAATTCATCATTTCTAAGAGTTTGAATAAGTTAAATGGTAGACAAGTGTCTTGGACTTATATTCTACCTGTAACAATGAAAAAATCCTAAGCATTATTTTATGATATACGCAACAACTTCAATCTAAGGCCAAAAAAAAAAAAAAAACCTAGTAAGGAAAAAAACACACTAACTCAACTCATTAAGCTTTGGACACGTTCCATTTTGCCAATTCTTCAGAAATACTGTAATTTTCCAGCAGAGAAAGAATTGGGCTGGTATCTGTCCAACATAGTCAAAATTATAGTATTATACTATCATTTTTGCTTTTCAGTCATAAAGACAAGAAAAGTCAAAATAATTATTGATATTTTTGCTATCCAGTTTATAAAATCTCTTCATTGGTTGTCCCAGTTGGTCATCACAATAATTTGTGTGGTAGACAGCAGACACTAGTGCTCAGAGAAAAACTAACCAAAATTCCCCAACATGACGCGGTTCATGGGACCAACAGAAAATTTGAACCCAAGGTGTCCAGCGCCCTATTACCCATGCTGCCTCCCTATACATCAGGTGACAAATGAGAATAGGAATAAAATTCTTTGAACAAAACGTGATCAGAAATTCAGTGAGTTGGAGCTGGCACCATACGGGTTAAGACTATTTTACCTGCGGCACCAGCATCCTATATGGGCATCAGTTCAAGTCCCAGCTGCTCTACTTCTATTCCAGCTCCCTAGTAACACTGTGAAAGCAGCGGAGATGGCCCAAGAGGGCCCCTGTACCCACATGGCAGACCAGGAAGAAGCTCTGAGTTTCTGGCTTTGGAACTGCCCTGCTCATAGTTTTACATCTCTGAATGATTAGTTTTATAAGTATAGTATTTTTCTTGAAACTAAGAAAGTTTCCATCCTGTTGCCACTTTTTAGAAGTTAATATCAATGTGTAAATGTGATATTTGGTTCCATTAAAGACAATTTTATATTATTTCAAATACCTGAATTTCTTTTAATATGTAGCAAAAGAACATAAAAGAGCGCCAATGTTTATCTTCAAGCCACAGAGCAAAAAAGTTTTTGAGGGAGAGTCGGTGAAACTAGAATGCCAGATCTCAGCTATACCTCCACCAAAGCTTTTCTGGAAAAGAAATAATGAAATGGTACAATTCAACACTGACCGAATAAGGTATGATAAGTATTTTTTTTTTAGGCTTACCTAGAAGAATCCAGTTACACTTTGACATATATTGTGAATCATAAAGTTATTATATCTGTGTAGTTTTTAACCATATACAGAGCATAATAAAGCTTAATTAAATCAGAATTCATTAATCAGAAATCTAAGGCAATATTGAAGCCTTGGGAATTACCTTTTCACTAAACAACAAAGAAAGGTGGCTCCAGAAAGTAAATGCTGTAAAATAAAGGGAAGATATTTTAAAAAGCCAACAGCTATTTGACAACAACTCAGTAGAGCCACAGAACTTTCAAATGCTCCTTTCTCCTCTAATTAGTGTAACTTTGTAAGTCGGAGACATCACTGAAATGCAGGAAAATGAGTCCCCAGACTTTTCTTTTAATGCTTCTTTTCAGCTTATATCATGACAACGCTGGAAGAGTTACATTACTGATAAAAGATGTAAACAAGAAAGACGCTGGGTGGTACACCGTATCTGCAGTTAATGAAGCCGGGGTAACCACATGTAACACAAGGTTAGATGTTACAGGTATGTAAGTATTCTAAAGGATTTAGCTAAGACTTGGTAAAAAACGTAAATCTCAGCATAGTGCAAAACCTGAGGGATTTCCCCTGTACATCATTGGTTTCTTTATCTTTTCCTATATGATGATGATGAATACCCAGTATAATCAATTTGTTTAGGTTTTGTGAATTAACTTCTTTTTGATCTGTTTCAGCTCGTCCAAATCAGACTGTTCCAGCTCCTAAGTTACGTGTTCGACCAACATTCAGCAAATATTTAGCACTTAATGGGAGAGGCTTGGATGTAAAACAAGCTTTTAACCCTGAAGGAGAATTTCAGCGTCTGGCAGCTCAATCTGGACTCTATGAAAGTGAAGAACTTTAATAACTTTATCAACAGTGAAAACACAACTATACTATTAGAACACATTTTTTAAAATAAATCCATAGCTGTATTAACAGATTATGGCTTTAAGTAGATATATAACTAATACATATTTCTGATATTTATCCTTTGCCTCCTGGATATTCTGCTTCTCTGATTTTTGAAGCCTTTGGAAAACCAGACTACATGGATTTGTGTAACAGTAGAAGACTCTTAAAATGTGAGATTATAACATTTCAGTCAGCACATTTATTAGTTACAGGTTATCAATATCAACTTTTTAAGAACATCTATCTGATACTTGTAACAAGGTTTAAAGGTACTGCTTTTACATACTGTTTTCTCTTGTAGCAATGCTAACACAGTACAGATATATGAGTGTTCTATAGTTCAATGTCAAAAGAATAAAATTCAAATATTTAAAACACTATCTCCACAAGTCATACATCTAAAATAAAATTTGTTTTTTCTATATTAAAAAAAATTCAGCAAAACCTATGAGTAATAAATTCCAAACAATGATATTATGTTCTAGAATAGTGTAAAGCTCACTTGCAGTTTAATTCATCTTGAAACAAACCCGAACTTCCCATGGTTTGTACTTCAAAAGCAACAGGGAACTGCACCATGACTGAATTTCTCCTGAATTTTTTATTTTAACCAAACAGGTTTCTAATTCTTCAAGATTTTCAGTCTGTTGAACTCTGTGGGACAAAATGGTGTCTAGGTATTATCCTCTTAAATCTAATACTTAATGTAAATTTGAATAACTTTATGTAGCTGTATTTCCTCAAACAATTCCAGATAATTACATGAGAAAAACATAATCTTATGAGTGTATCTAAAAATTCAAATTGAGAAAGACACAAATCCTTTAAAAAAAAACTGTCCCTAAGCTAGGATAGTAGCCCTTTGTCTCAAGCCACAAGTCCACAGGCTGGCAGCCTGTACTGGCCCTTTTGGCTCCTTTCATGAACACTACTTTTGACTTCTGCCACTGTTTAGCATAGTTTTTGTCTCGTTTTTTTATTGTAAAGTCAGATATACAGAGAGGAGGAGAGACAGAGAGGAAGATCCTCTATCCGCTGATTCACTCCCCATGTGACCACAACAGCCGGAGCTAGGCTGATCCGAAGCCAGGAGCCCCGAGCCTCCCGGGTCTCCCACATGGGCGCAGGGTTCAAAGGCTTTGGGCCGTCCTCGAATGCTTTCCCACAAGCAGGGAGCTGGATGGGAAGCAGGGCTGCCGGGATTAGAACCAGCGTCCATACGGGATCCTGGCGCGCAAGGATAAAACTTTAGCCATTAGCCTACCGCGCCAGGCCACATAATTTTGTTTTAATGTGCACATACAACAGCATTCATGAACATTAACTGTACATCTCCTTTTCACGAAAAGTGGCTTTACCTTCCACTTTCATTTGAGGTTTTCTTTTGCTGCTTTTTTTTTTTAAGTCTGTCCTAGAACATGTAGACTCAGTCCTCTCCCCCCGCCCCCCAACATGAGAATCCTTCTATCTCAGCCTGGCAGGCTGTTTTAGAGTCACACTGGTTGAGCCATTTCTATAGTTGGTTTTGCAAACCACCTACTCAACTTGGCAAAGCTTCTGGGCCAGAGGTTGGTCTGGAATCGCAGGAACCAGCCTTTCACACGGGCACTGCCTTCTGCCTTCTTCAATAACCTGACAGGCAGAGGCGGAGAGAGATCGTGGGCCTCGAGTGTCCACAACGGGCAGGGGTGAGCAAAGGCCAAAGGCAGGAATGAAAAACAGCCGAGCTTTCTCACATGGATCGGCCCAGCTCTGAGGGACAACTACTTGACTGCCACCGCATCCTGCCAGGAGCAGGACCAGGAAGGGGGAGTCAGAAGCCAGAGCCAGGCATCACAACCGAGCCCCTGGATGTGGGTCACCAGCACCTTAACCTACGTCCTCACCTCATAACCGCTGGACACAACACCGGCCCTACGGTTATACATACAACACGGAGTGAAAACAACTCGCGGTTAACACCTAGTTTCTGCTAGGAGCCATGACAGTGGGAGTGGGGTGTGGGAGTCATGCTTATGGCTTTGGTGCCCAATGTACTTGGCCTCAATTCGAGGTAAATTATTTCATCTCTCAAAACCTCAATTTCCTCAGGGCCTGAAAGGGGAGAAATACCTACCTTCAAGGGAGGTGGAAGTAGAGAGTAAACAAGACGATAAATATTAAGGAGATTCAAGAAAGAGAAGCCAGTTGTCATCAATTACTATGGTTTTGGGGGTCCCAAGCAGGTTTACCCCAGGAACGGGGCTCCTCAAACAAACTACCGGCAGAACCCAGCCCGCCTCAGGCCAGGAGAGCGGAGGACTCCTCATTGCGCAGGCGCGCCTGCCGCCAGCGCCCCCTGCGGGGGGGGGGTCGGAGGGCTCGCGCAGGCGCACGAGCGAAGCGGCGACCCTCGCGATCCTGTCACGCAGGCGCACCACGGCCCGGAGGCGACGAACGGGCGGTGTAGTCCAGGTCGGCCATGGCTGAGGCGTCGCGTTGGTATCGACCGGGTGAGGGATTCTCCTAGGGTGCGGCTAAGTCAGGTCCAGTCTGGAAAATCCGGATACTCTGTAAGGAATTCTGTAACTCCCAGATCTCCATTTCTGAGAGAAATATGATCGCCAAGAGGGAACACTGTTCCATTTCACTTCTGGGAAAAATGGTCACTCCCCTTTTCCTCTGCTCTGCAATCGACCAGCCCTTTGATCTGAGTCGTATCCTGATGTAACGACAGCCCCAGTATTTTTTGTTCCCCTAGCGGAGAGCAGCCTTCCCGAGAAGCAATGTGGACTGGCAGGGAAAGAAATCGGGGTTTCAGTTTGTTGTTTGGATTGCATTTTCGGCTTACAGTGGGGCTTGGAGGAAACGTCCATATTGGAAGATTGGTATAAAACCATCAAATGCTGGCCGACCTGCCTCATGGGAAGATTCAGTGCCATGTCTGATTATTTAAAAATAATCAGAAGCTCTCAGAACCTTTTTTTTGGGCACTGGTTGATGTTTGTCTGTTATTACTTGTATACATTGTAACTTACACATAATATAGAGAAAATGTTTGTTTTATATCTCACAGGGTCTTCAAAACATAATCTGCATTACATAAAGGAAGTAGAAATTAGAACCACCCTTCAGGAACTGTTGCTGTACTTTATCTTTTTAATAAACCTATGTATATGTAAGTACACAGATGAAGAAAAACATGACGACTGAACTAAGAAGTTAAAATACGGAGATAAGAAGCATACATGAAAACATAAAACCTTATAAAGCCATAGACTGTCAGAGTACTAAAACTCTATTTTACACATGTTCTTAAGTTTCCTTAAATTGACACTATTTCCGTGGCTTTTAAACATTTTATCACTTTACTTGGAAACCAGAGAGAATACTCCCATTTACTGCTCTCCCCAAATGTCCACAGCGGCTGGAGCTAGGTTGGACCAGAGCTAGAGCTAGAAAATTAGTGTGGCTCACCCACAAGTATGGCAGGGCCCAGCTACTGGAACCCGGAGTGCGTTATTAGCAGGAAGCTGGAAGTGTGTACACAGCTGGGACTTGAGCCTTCGCGGCTGTGTCAAGAGTCTGCCCTCATTTCCAGTTTTAAGAGTAAAACTTAAAAAAAAAAAAAAGTAAAACTTGAGGGAACAATTAAAATGAGAAGCTTCCATTGTCCACATTGAATAGAATTACTCCTTTCATTTCACAGACATCTCTTGAACATAATTAGTCCTTTGCGTTGATAATTGTAATGTGGTTTCTTTTAAAGCTATATAAACATATGTGTTCCATAAAGTACAAAAGAGGCCAAAAATATCTTAGCCAGCTTTTTCACTGATGTGTTGCAGTTAATACGCTTCTGCAGAGTTAGAGCAAATTTGAGAACTGTGAAAGTATCTTTCCTATCTGTGAGTCATTAGCATTGACTTAATGTGTAAAGGGCAGTATTCAAAAGCATTTTGTCTTTATAGAGTATCCAACATACAGAATAGGTAAGCTCATTTGCAAGGTTTGTTTCATGTTGGTGTGTGCTCCATACCAACTATTATATACCAATTAATTAATGTAGAAATGACTGTGAATCAAATCTTAAAAATAACTACAACTCATGTTACAAGTTATCCTACATGGTTTTTAAAAAAAAAGCCTGTTATTAAAACAATACATGCCTATTATAGGACATTTGGAAAGTAGAAAGATAATGAAAGACAGACAATGGAGCAAGATCTTCTGTCTGCTGGTTCACTTGCCAAATGTCCTCAGTGGCTGATACTGGGAGAGGCCAAAACCAGAATGCACATTAGCAGATGGCTGGCCTGGCAAGCAGAGCCAGGATTCAAACCCCACATTTGGATAAGGAACACAGGCCATCTAAGTGCTATCTTCAGCACTGCTCCAAGTGCCTCTCCCAGAGATTTTTTTCAATAAGGAAAACTGAAAAATTCTCTTAAGTTTCCATCAATACAGGAATTTGTTTAACATTTTGGCACATACACTGAATTAAATGCAGTTATTAATGAGTGACAGAGTCTCGTGTGTCTATGTGATACATTTTTTAAAATGAAGAATTTATCATGAAAAAGCCACTTATTTATGTTGTGTATTTATTTATGAATCTATCTATACTCCTCTGGAAAACTGAGTGATCACAAGAAAGAGAATAAGAACGTCAGTACTTTTTAAAATTCCTACCATATAACACACATACCAAAGCATGGTTTCAGGTATTCTGCATGCATCTTCTCATTTGCCCACAATAAAGTCAGGAGATGGTAGTTACTATCTCTATGATAGTAACTCTAAGTTAGACTTGTCTAACTTCAATAGCCTTAATCAACGTGCAGGGGGAAAAAAAAACCTTGCATATTAGTGAATATAATGTAATGTATAATGTAACCTAATTTTTGTAAAACTGGAATGATTATAAATGTAGATATGTAAAGCCAGTGCAGTGATATTTCGGGCTGATCTTCGGCTTCTGGAGCAAAGCTCCCATATGGGTGCCAATTCTAGTCCTAGATGTACAATTTCCCATCCAGCTCCCTGCTTGTAGCCTAGGAAAGCCATGGAGGACAGCCCAAGGCCTTGGGCCCCTACACCCAAAGTGGAATACTCAGAAGATAGAGGTGCGCACTCTCTCTCTCGCTCTCTCTCTCTGTAACTCTATAAGTCTTTCTAAATACATTTAAAACAAAATTTCAAAATATATACATGTATATACATAAAAAATAATCATAGGAGGTGAAGCTGTTGTCTACAATACTTGCATCCCATATGAATCAGAGTCTCAGCTGCTCTACTGACCCAGTTCCCTTACGTGGCCCGGGGAAAGCAGTGTAGGATGACTTCACGTGCTTGGGCCCCTGCTAGCCATGGGAGAGACCTGCCCCCTGGCTTCAGTATGGCCCAGCCCCAGCTGAAGTGGCCATCTGGGGAGTGACCTAGCACATGTAATCTGCTCTAATTTTGCCTTTCAAACAAATCTTAAAAAAAAAAAAAAGAATATATACCAAACTGAACCGGGGCTACAATCAGCTTTCTCTTGCTTTTATACTTCTATTTGGAATTTTTAAATGAGTTTAAATTATTACTTTTATAATCAGACAAAACAATAAAAGTTGAATTTTTCAAAAAAAATGAGAGTAAACTGTGACAACATTTTTAATTCTGATAAACTGAATCTTTAAACAAATTCTTAAACAAGGATTCTTCTCCTTAGTGACTTTTGGAATGGTAAACCCACATATGTATTATTTAAACAAGGTTATGTCATCACTGTTTTTGGATACTTCTGTGGCTGATGATGAAAGAACCAACTTTAAGTCTATTCGCAGTATCACTGACTTTTGGAAGGTAAGGTATTGTGTACCTGTGGATGAAATATTATAGAAATTTCATAAACTTTTGGTACACCTAAGATACTCAATATTTATTAAAAGAATTAATAAAACTGGATATTGTTTCTTTAATTCACACCAACCAAGTGTTTACTTATTCTCAATGTATTCTCAATGTGATACTGTTAACTACTTTTAAATCAATATATCTTTTTAACATTCAGACAAGCCTAATTCCAGCTATCGCAGCTATTTGGAAAACTAGTGAATAGAAACTCTCTTTCTCTGTAACTCTGCCTTTCAAATAAACAAGTAAGCCTTTTAAAAAGTCATAGTTCAATATGCCTCTTTTTTTATTGGCCATCTTGAGGCATTTACATGACCAATGGAAAGAAGGACAGTCGATCTTGGCATGAAGTCACAACATGACTGTGACCAGCTATGATGCTGACTGGCTTCAATTTTCTATGTAAGAAGAGACGAAGGGCTGTGGGATTCAATGAGTTGAATCTTGTAAAGATACTTATAAAGTGCTTGGTGCAGTGCCTAGGAAAGAGTGCTCAGCCAGTGCACTCAGCAGCAGTAGCCATACCACCATTCATATTAATGATGGGTTGCAATAATTTATTTTCCATACTCAAAATTAGGTGTACATAATGTTATAAAAGATTTTAATGACATGAAAATATTTTTTCTATGACATTTATCTTTGTGAAGTTTATGGAAGGACCCCTTTTGGAAGGTTTGTACTGGGATTCATGGTACAATAACCAGAGGCTATACAATTTAAACAACAGCAGTCGTATCTACTATGAAAACATACTTCTGGGAGTACCCCGAGTCCGTCAACTAAAAGTCCGTAACAACACCTGCAAGGTCTACTCATCCTTTCAGTCTCTGATGCATGAATGTTATGACAAATATACTTCTAAAAATGAAGATCTATCTGAATTTGGCCTCAGAACTGACACTGAGTAAGTACTATAAAGTTACACAGATTTTTCTAGCAGCTTGCCATTTTATTTCCAAGTATACTAACTGGAGACTGTCAGGTAAAAAGACTATTTCAATAATGTTAAAAGGACGAATGTGAAAGAGTCATGTCTGGAAAAGACAAAAGTGAACCTGTTTTTATTTTTACTTCAGGATGCAGAGTGATTTTTTTTTCCTGTTGGCATATGAAATGCTTAGTCAAACTAGAGATAAGGCAAAACATCAATTTTTGCTTCTGCAATGATTGCTGAACCAGCTTTTTTGGCTGTGACCAGACTCCCTCCAACTCATCCCCACTGTCCTTTCTCACTCTGGTTTAGTCCCGTGACATCTGCTCTAGGGTATGATGGTCATTTTTCTTCAAAGGAACCGAGCCCAAGTAATGCTGGTATTGACTCATAGCTGCACTTGAGAAGGTGGAAGCCCAGAACCATGAGCACCCTGTGCCCTTGACACGAAGATTCCTGGTATCTGTCCTGTTTACATGCAAAGTCCTATAAAAATCATAAGAGGAAAATAAAATTTCTATAACTTAATATTCATCAAAATGTTACAAATATTTATGAAGGACTACCCCATCCTTCTCATATTCACAGTGTCCAGAAGTCTTACTTTTGCTCTTGTAGTTATTTCCTCCAGCACACACTTGTCTCTAAATGATATCTTCATAGAGCTGCTGCTTGATTTGACACTTTCACATACTGTTTTTCTATCATGGAAATGATCTGTCATGTAGCTCTTTGATGCCACCTATCTACATACTCATTCTGCTCTTAGCCCCTCAGTATAATTATACCGTAATCATCGTTCATCATCAGTCAGTTTATTACAAATATGAAGTATGATTATATTTTCTTCAACAGTCTGCCCTGGATTAATAATTGTTTCATTTTTAATTGGCATTTCTTTTTTACATAAGTTTAGGATATTTTTAGGACTAGTATTCTTATAAATCCAAAAGTTCATAAATTTGGGGACACATTATCTTAAAGTGGTATTCACTTCCCTTTGCACCTAAATTTAAAAATAAATCAAGTATTTAATTAATTGGATTCTCAAGAATAATCCTTAGATATTCTAATATTCCAAATTTTCATCAATTACAAATACTTTAAATGTCAAAATTAACAATATGAGTTGAATTTATTTTGTTATTTCTGTGCTTGATTTTTTTTTCTTGAATTGTAAATTCATATCTGTCATTCTGGAGAAGGTATTTGTCCTAGCAACTTAGACACTCAAGTTCCTGCATGGGTCTGATTCCTGGCTCCAGCTTCTGAATACTGATGAATGACGTGAACCCTGTGATACAGTAACAATAACTCTGTAGCTGGGTCCCTGCCACCCACTCCAAGGGTTCTGGATTGTTTCCACTCCTGCTTTCAGCCTTAGCCTAGTTGTAACCATTTGGGGACTAAACTGGCAGGGTGGAATCCTCCCTCTATGTTCATTCTCCTGTTCTCTTTCTCTTCCTATGCCTCTCAGACTTTTTTTTTTAAGACCTGGGGCTGGTGTGGTGGCATAGCAAGCTGATCCTCCCTCTGCCTGTAATGCTAGCATAACATATGAGTTCAAGTCTTGGGTGCTCCACTTTCTGATCTAGCTCCCTGCTTATGGCCTGGAAAAGCAGCAGAGGATGGCTTTAGTCCTTAGGACCCTGTACCTAAATGGGAGACCGGGAAGAAAGTTGTGGCTCCTGGCTCCAGGTCAGCTCAGCTCTGGCCACTGCAGCTGTTTGGGGAGTGAACCAGCAGATGGAAGACTTCTCCCTCTGTAAAATCTACCCTTCAAATAGAAAGCAATTTTTAAAAATACCTGTTATCCTCAAAAATCAAAATAAGAATCAATCTGTATTGTTTGTCTAGCTAACAGGTAAAATTCATTAATTAGAAACATCATCTAAATTATTGGAAGCTAGGAGAGCTAGTGTAACAAATTCTTCTGTTACAGTTTAACTGTCATATGCAGACACACTCAGAATTACAACTTTTATTAAAATAATTTCCTCTAAAGATGTCTCTCTTTACCTCCAGTGAAGATACAATGTTTACTCATAGAAAAATAAGTTCAGAGGCCAGCATTGGGGTGCAGCAGGTTAGGTTGCCTCCAGTGATGCTGACATATGAATGCAGGTTTGAGTGTGGCAACTCCACTTCTGTCCAGCTCTCTGCTAACGCTCCAGGAAAGGCAATGGAAGATGGCCAAAGTGCTTGGGCCTCTGCCACCCATACGGAGACCATGATGGAGTTCTAGGTTCCTGGCTTTGGCCTGGCCCAACCCCAAGCCACTGCAGTCATTTGGGGAGTGAGCCAGCTGATGGAAGCTCTTTCTGTAACTTTGCCTTTCAAATAAAAGAAAGAAAAAAAGAAAAGTTTAGGCAGTGATCTGATTTGAATTCATAGCTCCTGGCTTCCTCTCTTGTTCTATTAGAGGCATTTGGAGAGTAACCCAGCAAATGGGAACTCTTTTTCTCTTACTCTGTCTTCCACTTAATAAATAAAATATCTTAAGTAATACTTTAAAGAATCAGATCATCATATAACAGCAGGTTTACTTATTAGACATTTATAAATAATATAGGACCTTAAGGCTAGGCAGACTACAATAGATATTTCTGAATCAAGATCTTGATATTCTTGTCCTACTGAAAGACTAAACAACTCATGTTACCAGAGACAATAAATTAAAAGGAAACAACACATATCTAGTCTTTTAAGTTCCTTGAGGCAACAAGTGGATTTCTGAACATTTTTTCATAGAAGCATAGTGTGTTGCCCATAATATTTAAAATGTGTTCTTTTAATTCTTAATGCATTACCTTCTTCAAAATTGCTGTAATAACTATAAGCTTAATCCTGTTACATTTTTACCTGCTACTTTTGAACCAAAGGTTAGTTCAAATTCTTTGGATAGTTCTCAGTGGGGCTTTTTCGTCTCTCATTTTTTTTATGCCTAACAGGTGGAAATATTCTTCTTCTAAAACCAGTTCCCCTTTGCACTGGGGATATGTTGGTGTTTACCGAGATGGGGGATATATTTTCACCTTATCAAAATCAAAATCTGAAACTCAAACCAAGTTTGTCAACCTTCGACTAAACAGCTGGATCACAAGAGGAACTAGGGTCATTTTTATTGACTTTTCACTTTACAATGCTAATGTAAATTTGTTTTGCATCATCAGGTGAGTGACTCAAAGCTGAACTTAATACGTACGTAGTACGCTGAACTTAAAAATACCAGAATAATAGTGATCAGTCTCAAAATCTTTTTATATTTAATGCTGGAGTTCATTTTTCCTATTTCCATTTATATGCTGATCCCTGTATCCAGCATCCAATGCCTAAAGTAAACATTTACTCCAGTAGAATATGTAACATTGATATTTGGAAGCAGAAGCAAAGTATCTTTGGTATATCAGAAGGAGAGAATGTAAAGGTATTTTCCTCTGAAATATTTAAACATGTGGGGCGAGGACCCTAACAGTATTCAATAGTATTTTTCCTTAAACATCTCATTCTCCTATGAAGATAAGTAATGTCCCAGTTTAGGCAAGCAATCTGAACTCAAAACTGAATGACTAGAGAGAGATAGCATCTGGCTTCAAACCATCCCAGCTCTGGCCATTGTGGGCACTAGGGGGGTGAACTAATAGGTAGAAGAGCCCGCTCTTTCACCCCCTCTGTATAATCCTGTCTTTCATATAAATAAATAAATGTAGGAAGTTGAACCCATAAATCCAAGTAAACCTATTTTAAACTTACTAGACATTTCCCATTGGGTTATGTGCTAAATGCAGTGACTTTCACAAAACTCATTTTACAGATTGGTGGCAGAATTCCCTGCAACTGGAGGAATACTTACATCATGGCAGTTTTACTCTGTAAAGCTCCTTAGATATGTCAGCTACTATGATTATTTTATTGCCTCCTGTGAAATAACCTTTTGTATTTTTCTTATTGTTTTTACAACACAAGAAGGCAAAAAAATAAAGGAATTCAAATATGCCTATTTCAAAAGTATCTGGAACTGGCTAGAATTACTGCTTTTACTGGTGAGTACACTAATGCATGTGGCTGAAGGGTATCATATATTAATCTACCTATAAGGGAAGTGCTCATCTAAGACCTATTGTGGAAGCTAGAAGCATCAAACATTAAGTGAACTGTTCTAATACATACTAATGGTATGCCCCTTAAGAGAAAATACCAGTTTTTTGCGATTTGGCCTTAGTAGGGTCAGTATAAGCCAACAGGTGATTTAATGGCATATATGCAAATATGATTTAATGGCATAGCAAGTATCCCTACACTCACTCAAAAATTCCTTACCGAGAATGTTTCAGTAGACAAGAATCTTGTGGGAGAAGGTCCTTTAAAAAGTACTCTTCTATGTTGTCTAAATCTGCTTTTCCTCATTACACTAGATTTTAAAGAATAGGTAATAAATAAATAAATATATAAAATAAAAAACTAAGGGGACTACTGAAGGAGAGGGTGCTCAAGCAGCCAGAAAGTACTTAGGGGAACAGAGTATGCCAGGGTCAGGGAAACAGTCCCAGAAAGACCAAAGATTGCCATTTCTAATTGCAGAATGTAGAGAACTAAAAGAAAAAATCAAAATGGAGACAGACAAATATATTAAGAGCTTGGTTTTAGGAACTGTTAATAAGCACACTTCTGGATTGTATAATTTGATCTTTCACCATTACTGTCCTTTCATTGTAGCCAATACAATATGTAAGCCCTGTTTTCCAAAATCACGCTAAAGGGCACAGCATTCAACAACTATCTCAGTATTTTAGGTAGGGAAAGAGAAAAGGAAATTTTCATTCTGGCTATCAAACTCAGATACTTAAGATACCCGGTTCTGAAATCCTCTTTCAAAAGGATTGCTAAGTTCTTAAGAGGTTTATGTTTTAGAACAGTGAATTTATTTTCCTTATAGAATTACATGGTAGAAAATATTCAACTTTTAGTTACCAAGTGAAGCAGAAAACTCTTGTTTAGAGCTGCTGTGCTTTGACTCATAGAAACAGAATAGAAGGCAATGAATGTTTCTACCCTTACAATTATTATGCTAATTTAAACTTCCATGAGTTAAAATTTAGATCCATTTATGTAAAAGCAGAAGTGGATGTTTGGCCTCGAGGCTCTGACTCCAGATTTCTGCTAATGCAGACCCCATAAGGCAGCAGTGAAGGCTCAAGGAGTTGTGCCCCTGCCACCCGTGTGGGACCCTAGATTGAGTTCTTGGCTCCCAGCTTGAGCCTGCCAAGTCCCAGCCTTTCCCGACATTCTGGGAATAAGTCAGTGGATGAGTGGGATAAAGCCTGTGTCCTCCCTTTCCCTCCCTTTGTGTTAAACTCTGGTGAGAAATTTGATGTATTTCTTCATAAGTTACAGAAGATTTAGAGGAAGGAATAATCTCTAATTTCACTCTTATTTTCCCCATTTAGTTGTGTTTTGTGTCTGTTTCCTTCTATGTATACTGTAATTTGCAAACTTACCTCCTACTTGGAAAGTTGTTGCAAAATACTGAAAAATATTCAGACTTCTATTTTCTTGCATACTGGCACATTTATTACAACAATATAATTGCTATTACTATCTTCTTTGCATGGATAAAGGTATTTATATTTTATTATACTACATAATACACAGTGTAATAAAATTTTGAATTGTCTGGTTGTGGGAGAAAATTTACAGAGTAACCATAAAAGGCATCTTGGTGTGCAATATATAGCTTAGTGATTAGGATACCAATTAGGATGTTTGTGTCCCATATTGCAGTGCATGGGTTCAGCACCTGGCTGTGGTTGTGGGCTCAAGCTTCACACTATGGCAGCCTCTGGGAAATAGTGGTAATGGCTCAAGAAATTGGGATCCTACTACTCATGTGGAGATCTGGATTGAGTTCCCAGCTCTTTGCTCCAAGCTGACCAGCCTGGAGTTGGGAAGTTAACCAGTGGATAGGATCTTTCAATCTCACTCACTCTCCTCTCCTCCGCTCCCTCTCCTTCCCTCCTCAAACGAGTAAAGGTTTGTAAAAAGTCATTTAGTGGGCATTGTGGTGTAGTGGGTTTAAGTCATTGCTTGGACACCCAGTTTCCACATTGGAACGCCTGGAGTGAACTTCCATCTCCACCTTCTGCTTTTCATCAAATTTTCCGCTGAGGCAGCATATAATGGCTCAGGTACTAAGTCCTTGCCACCCACAGGGGAGACCTGAAAGGATACCCTGGTTCCTGGCCCTGCCCTGCTCCAGTCCGGTTGCTATGACACTCGAATAAACCAACAAATCAGAGATATCGTGTGTGTGTGTGCGCACGCACACCCTCATGTCACTTTACCTTTCAAATAAATAAAAATGAAGAACATTTTGAAATAGATTTTTAAATATTTAAACTTGTAATGATTGTTGACAAATCCTCAGACACTTGTATGTGAATACTTCCTTCATTTTGAAGCAGAAGTCTTCTGAAATTGTTACTCTAATTACAATCTTATATTATATTGCAATTAAATTTGTTCTTTTTCAGATATTCAAATTCATAAGCTTTAATAAGACAATGTCTCAGCTGTCATCAACCTTGTCCCGCTGTATAAAAGACATAGTAGGATTTGCCATCATGTTTTTTATAATTTTCTTTGCTTATGCCCAGTTAGGATTTCTTGTTTTTGGATCACAGGTTGACGACTTTTCCACTTTCCAAAATGCCATGTAAGCCCTTAGGATAAATATAATTGTGTTGTGTTTACTTTCTAAAATAAAAAATCATGGGAGGCCTACAGTAAGTAGTAATATAACCTTAGTAAATTTTAACTTGATATTCTCATGGACGGCCAAATATCTTTCACCCTCAAAGTAGAATTTAGCATTAAAAGACACAAATAGATGTGGTTATTATATTTTAAGTGTTACTATCTCAAGTTAGAAAAATATTTTTTCATTTTTTATTTCAACTGAGGATTTTACTTTAGGGAATGGAAACTGGTTTCCACATCTCTGTAGTATTATCCTCTGGGTAAAAGAAGTCTTATATTTTCTTCAGAAAACCCCACGATAAGAATCTTTTTACTGATATTGACCTGATTAAGAATGTAATTTTTAAAATATTTATAGGCATACAGTAATCAGTAATAGGCAACAAGCAAACTTACAGAAGGAAATAGAAATCCCTAGGGAAATAGCTGTGTTTTTAAAGCTTGTGGGTCTAAAATATCAAATCTTAAAATATGTTTTTCTGGAATTCAAGACCAGTATTGCACAGGTCATATATTCCAGCAAGTTTAGGGAATTTTGCATTTGGAAATTTACTCTAGTATTAATATATGGTTCTGAAAACCAAAATACCTTTGTTGATTTTTGTTAAAAGTTTCACAAACTTATTCATGACTCTTTCACTAGATTTTTGGGAAGCATTATTAATCTAAAGAAGTGTCTTTAAGTTGCCTCTTTTTCCATAACCATGTAAATAACCTAAGCATAAATGTCTGAAATTTTATGACATTTTCCTAAAATACACCTTTATTAATTAGCAGTGGAAAGAAGAGTGGACTAGAAAACAAGAGTATATAATTCTACTTTCCAGTTTTGTCACCAGCTATAATTTTTCTAGATCTTTGTTTCCTTATCTGGAAAATAAAAGGGCCTATGTTGCCCTCAAGTTTCATCCATGTAGTAACACATGCAAAAATTTCCTTCCTCCTGAAGACTTGACAGTATTTTATTGAACTTATATTCAATACGATGTTTGCTCATCTGTTCATTTCCTGTTGAACACTTGGACTGTTTCATGTTGAAGCACTGAGATGTAATGCTGTATGAACATGAAAGTACCAATATCTTCTCAAGACCCTGCTTCCAACTGTTTATACCCACAAGAGGTTTTAATGGATCCTATGATCTACATTCACCCCTAGCTTAACTGAAGTATAATGGACCAAAAATGTATATACTTATAGTATATTTGTCTGGATATATGTAACTATTACAAAATTATTAAATCAAGAAAACTTAACATATCCATCACCTATTTATCTTTTTGTCTTTTGTGGTGAAAACTCTTGACTATTTTCAAGTGTACAAAATGATTTAAATTCTGTCACCATGCTGCTAAATAGAGCTCCATCTAGATGAAATTTATGCACCCTTGACTAACAGCTCTTAATCATCCCTTCACTCATTTACTCATTGATGGATAGTCTAGTTGACTCCATCTCTAAGCTATTGTGAATAAGGCTATAGTAAATCTGGGGAGTCCAGATATCCTTCTATTAAAAACCTCATTTCTTGTGGATATATAACCAGAGATTACTGAAGCACATGGTAGCCTCATTTTCAATTTTTTGAGGAACATCCATTACATTCTATGTAGGCTGCTGCATTTCACATTCCTTCCAGTAATGTAGAGGGCTCTTTATCTCCACATGGTCAACATGTGCATTTCCCTGATGATATAGACCATTTGTTTATATACTACCATGTTTATGTTCTTTTATAAGACTATCTATTCAGGTCTGATCCTTTGCATATTTTTAAATTTGGTTTTCTAGTTGTTGTGGACATTTGGGGAGCAAACCCAGCAGAGCAAACTTTTGTCTCTCTGTTTTTTAAATAAAATTTTTTAAAATTTAAGTGTTATCTTCCTATCTGAACACTTTCCTGGTAGGAAGGGAATAATTGAAAGGGGCTACAGTTCCTAAACCAACATCTGGAAAGAATGAGAAATGGCACCTTTTATTTATTTTTTTCTGCAACTCAAAGATGAAAGATAAGTCAGAAATATTTAGGCACTCTTAGCACTTATGCCAGAAAAGGAAGAAGGGAAATATTATTTGCTCCAAGGTTTAAAAAAAAAAAAACCAGAAAACATTTATTTTATTTTTATTGGAAAGGAGGATATACAGAGAGGTGGAGAGACAGAGAGGAAGATCTTCCATCCGATGACTTAATTCCTTAAGTGGCCACAACAGCTGGCTCTGAGCTGATCTGAAGCCAGGAGCCAGGAACTAACTCCAGGTTTCCCACATGGGTGCAGGGTCCCAAGGCTTTGGGCTGTCATCAACTGCTTTCCCATGCCACAAGCAGGGAGCTGGATGGGAAGTGGAGCTGCCGGGATTAGAACCGGTGCCCATATGGGATCCCGGCATGTTCAAGGTGAGGACTTTAGCCACTGGCCATGCCGCTGGGCCCCCTTGTTCTGAGGTTTTTTGATCTACTTCCAGTTTAGCACTTTTTATCATATATGGAAGAGTATTACAAGCCAGTATTAAAAGTAGAACAGAAGTATGATTTTGTGGGCCAGCACAAAACCTGGCTCCTGGTTTCAAATTGGCTCAGCTCTGGGTGCTGTGGCCATTTGGAAAGTGAACCAGCAGATGGACGATCTTCCTGTCTCCCCTTCTCTCAATAAAATCAGATCTAAAGTTTAATGCTGTTTAAGTCTAGATAAATGTTTAAAAATCACTTATTGGAGAAAGATTCAAGCAATCTAAGTTTTTTCCTAATTTTCCTTTTCTTCTCATCAAAGATTTGCACAATTTCGAATTGTTCTTGGAGATTTTAATTTTGCCGGTATTCAGCAAGCCAATCGGATCTTGGGACCCATTTACTTCATCACTTTTATATTTTTTGTGTTCTTTGTCCTTCTGGTAAGAATAACCAAATTCCTTATTTCTTTCCCCCCTAATTTTTTAGTATTAGAAGAAACAGCAGTATTACTGCTTGGCTAGGATAACACTGTACAAAATTAAGAATTATTTTTTGGATGACTAGTAGTCCAGAATCTCGAAAATAGTAGCCATGATTTCAAGTTATTCCAGTGGGATATGTAATCACAGTAATTGACAATTATTTATCTTAGCCAGCAATGGCTAAATCACTTACACAAATAACTCAAGTATGTATGGATTCTTTAGGTCAGAACAACCAGGAGGTATAAATTCAGTCATTAGTATTTGTGATTTTCTAGGTCTGATTATGATAAGTTCTCACATATGCTCAGAACAAGTCTATTTGAGCCTCTTAGTCAAGGCACTGTTACTGTCCTCCATGAAATTTTTTTTGAGATTTGTTTTGAAAGACAGATTTACAGAGAGACAGAAATATTTTTGATCCTCTAGTTCACTCCCCAAATGACTTCAATGGTTGGAGCTGACAATCCGAAGCCAGGAGTCAGGAATCTTTTCTGGGTCTCTAATTGAACCCTTCTCTCTGTAAATCTGACTTTCCCACAAAAACAAATAAATATTAAAAAAAAAAAAAGTGCACACACTCCTTCTCACTAATTCATCACTCATATACCTGCAACAGTCAAGGCTAGGCTGAGGCCAAAGTCAGAATTTGGGAACTCCATCCACTTCTCCAACATGAGTGGCAAGAACCTAATAACTTGAACCATTATTACTGCTTCCCAGGGTCTACACTAGGAGAAAGTTGGAGTCAGGAGCTAGAGCCAGGTATCAAACTCAAGTATTCCAATATGGGGTGAGGGCATCTTAACCGTTAAGTCTAAAAGCTTGCCACATTAATTAAAACATTCAAGGTGCACATAATTATTCCCTGATGATGGCGAAGAATCGTAAGGGCAATACAAGTGTGCCTCAGTGAAAAGTTGGAGAACTGCAATTGGGGTAGGAATATCCTCTCCACATTTATGCTGTTATCAGGACATTAGCAGTTGTAGGAACTTAGTACAATATTTAAGCAACTTCAATAGCAAACAATCTTGTGACCATATAATCAGCATTGATATCTTCTGCTATATAATACTGACAAGTTAATGTATATGATTATGTATTTATTAATAATCAGCTCACATATGCTACTCGACATGCTGCTTTTCTCATTTGCCATAGTGACTTGTATTCAGTTTTCCACTCCACTGTGGTTTGTACATTCATATCCCTACTATTGAGCACATGAGTTTTTTAAATTTAAATTTACTTTTTAAAGCCCTGGTACTTTTTAATGGCATTAACATTTAAATTTCTATTGAAATAACTGCTCAATAATTCTTCCTAGAACATGTTCCTGGCAATAATTAATGATACCTATTCTGAAGTGAAAGCTGACTATTCAATAGGCAGAAGGCCAGATTTTGAACTTGGTAAAATGATAAAACAAGTAAGTCCAATTTTTTTTCCTAATCAAAGTCCAAGACAAGTCATACTCATTTTATATTCTTACAATCTGAATAATACTTTAAATCCCAAGTAATGGATTTTTCTTTTTTCCTGTGGTGGTGTTCACATTTCTGGTCCAGTGTTACTCATATCTGCATTATTTCACTACTAGGGAAATGAGATAACTTGCTGCCTTTAAAATATAACCAAAATTATTTTAGAGTTTGATATTAGAAATGATAATAAAGTTACTGACTGCTAAGCACTGTTCGGTATTATTTTTAAAAACTCTTCCAAAAAGTTTCCATTCAAGTACTAGTAAATTTCTGTTTAAATTGAGAATTTCATACTGCTTGTCTTCCTCATTTTCATAGTCGCTCCTGGTATCAAGGTTTGTATAAATCTTCCTTAAGCTTGTGAAATTCAAAGATTGTTTGAATTCCAATTGCCTCTAGATAGATTAGGATATTTATTTGGTAGCTTTCGCCCAGGCTTGTTGTATGGTAACACTTTAGTAGTTCTAACTCTGATCTCATCCTTTTCAATGGGCTGATCAAAATGTGTCCACATTAAAAAAAAAATTGGAAGGCAAAGCTTTGCAGTGTGAGGGTATCAGAGTATGGGAGTATAGGGGTGGTGCTTAGTATGGAGAATAGAAAGGGAGACAGAAAACCTTCCATCCACTGATTTACTCACCAACTAGCTGCAACAAGCAGGGCTGGGCCAAACACAAGACAGGATGATGAAACCATCCAGGTTGCCCATATGGGTTGCAGGGACCCAAGCACTTGAGCCATTATCTGTTGCCTTCCCAGACATATTAACAAGGATGAGAAGCAGAGCAGCCAGGATCTGAAACACCAATTCAACACAGGATGCCAGCACCTGAAACAGCAGTTGAACGCACTATGCCACAACACCAGCTCTCCAAGCCCAAATTCCTTCGTCACATATCACAGCTTCTCCTCAAATTCCACAGTCCCTACCTATTAGCTGTTATTATAGTGTTTCTTTTTCTTCTCATTAAAAAAAGTAACTGTGAGGTACAAAGAGAGACCACCCGTTTGTAACAACACTCTCCACATGCATGCAGCTGGGACTGGCCTGGACCAAAGTCAATACCCAGGGACTCAATCCTTGTCTCCCACCAAGACTGCAGTTGTCACCACTGCTTCCCTCCCATCTACACTAGCCAGGAGCTGGAGCTAGGAATTCAACCCAACATCTCCACACACAGGTTGAGCATGACCCCTCTGCCTCTACATACAGCAGCTCATGGGCCTGCAGTCTTGTTATTTCATCACCCTCTCTGCGGCGCTGTTCTTCATGCCAAGACACGCGATAATCATACTCAAAGCTGTTCTCCTTCTGAACATTCTATTCCTTTTGATAGAATGAAATCAGCTACGCTCTCAATGCCCAACCACTCTAAACTGCAGCAGAACCCTATGTTAACCTTTGCAATCTTGGCACATCATGTGGCTCTATGCCACAGCACACTGCAGAGAAAAAGTCCCAGTAGCTGTAGAATTGTCTTCAAGGATAGCCCTTAAAACAACCCCAAATAAACTTAATTTGTGGGGGGTTTTCTTTCCTCACTTTTTGTCTGGAATATGATGGCCTATATGCTTTATGTTAACATCCTTAATACAACTGGCATTACTACATATTAAATATATTTTTTTTCAAGTTCAGGTGTAATGCTCTCAAGAAAACCCCTTTTACTTTCTCACCAGCAGGGAGAAACCACAGGTGGTAACAAGGCCAAAAGAAGATAATCATAGCACTTGATCTCCATACTTATTTCTTTAGGGTAGCAGTCACTAGAGACCAATTTTTTTTTACTTGATCTAATATTAATTCAGGATGTATTTTTGATAAATTTTCAAATTATTTTAAATTTTGCCTAGAGTTACAATAATGCTCTTGAGAAACTAAATCTGAAGAAAGCTGAAAAAGATGAAGACAAGAAAATGTAAGTGGACTTTTATAACTTTAACTTATTAGTATGTTCTATAGAGGTGGTCTTCAACTTAAGACAGGGTTACATCCTGACAAACTCATTCTAGATAGAAAATACTCAAAGTGGAAAATGCAGTTAAGAAGGCCTACCCCATCAAACACCAAAGCTTAGCTGCACCTGGTTTAAACATGCTCAAAATACTTACCTTAGCCTAGAGTAGAATCATCGGGCACAAAACAGATTCAAAAATAAACTACTGGTATTATCTAATCTGTACCTTCCCAAGTTGTTAAGAACCATTGTATTACATGAGAACATTATGAGAATAAGGTTTTTCACTAAAAAGCACCACCATCCACTGTAGTGATTCCAAGTACATTCAGTAGCACCTCTTTAATCTCTGAAGATGTTAAGAAAGTATAAGCTTACTTAAAATCAATATAATTTAGCATGGCATACTATTCAAAAGAGGAAAGTCCTTTTAAAAAGAGAGGCAACAGCTGTAGTCAGCATAAATTTTCATTTAGCTGTCAAAAACATTTTAGATATAATACTTACACTTTTACTTACACATTAAAATTTTCTGAATGATTTTGGGTGTCAGAATGTTTCCCAAACCCAGATCCCTGACAGGGGGGTTAACACAAATATTTTTTCACAGGAGGAAAACCAGTGGAGATTTGGCTGAAGAAGCCAGAAAAGAAGGCTTTGACGAAAGTGTAAGATTTTCTTCTTTTCATAAGCACAGTGATAGCTTTAATTAGAAATGCTAATAGACAAGTTCTGATTAAGAATTAATTTTTTTTTCAGAGCAAAAGTTATCACCTCTAAAATAAATGTCACAGTATCTACTTCAACTCCAGGTTTTTTCACCCTCAGTACTATTTTGGTATTGAAGTGTACACTCACTGCGGAATTGCCATATTAGGTTTTACAGAGTATACTCTACTGAAATGACTACATCGTCCTCTTATGTTAATTAGTATGGTTATTTTACTTTTACATTGCAAAATTACCTAACATATTCAACAAAACTTATAAGGGGTGTGTGTGTGTGTGTGGGTGTGTGTGTGTGTAAATTAAGGAACAGGAATGCATGCCCTTCAATTTCAAGAATATAGCAGCACTTTAAAACAGTCAAATTAATACTGGAGAAGTTTGCATTGGTTCTAAGTTACAAAAATAGGAAGGATAAAAGTTAAAATGAACTTTTTGGTGTTGGATTAGAATTGTAGAAGTTTGTATACAAACACACACATTTATTCTAGCTCGGTCCACGGAGAGGGCTAGAAGATGATACCCTGGTAGCAGTCAGTACAAGAACAGAGATTTGGATTCCAAGGGGCCTCATCCTCTAACTGGGGCTAGGACTCATTCGCGATATACCAGTGCCAGGACTGAAACACAAGATGAGTTTGGAATAACTTACTGAGTCAGAAAATAGAATCGCTCTGAGAATGATAGACATCTGTTAGAAGGACACCAGAATCAGCTTCAGGGGTCACACTGGACAAACCTACCCTAGACTATCTAAGGACTGCAATGAATCATGATGTATAAACCATTATACAAAACAGGATTTCATGAGTCTATACTGATCTATACCTGCAAACAGAAATAAGATGAAGCAACAAGCCCAAACCTCAACACACAATACTATTGCAAGATGAAAACCAGTAATATTTGGCAGACAACAATCCATACCTTACATTAATACATTAATCAGATGTATGACTTACATCTAATATTTCCCTCAAAATTACAGTATGGCAGGCACTGCAGATGCTGTGCCAAGCAACTACCTCTAGCTTTTCTTAAAATACTTTCAGATTGAATCACAAAACAAACACAATGCTGTGCTATATTCCCATCATATACACTTAAAGTGATTTAACATTTTAAACATAAAAGCATGAGCAAAGGTATAATACACAATAAGATTATCAAGGGATATAATTTAATATATCAAGAGAAAATTTCTAAATGACTCTAGGAGCACTTTTGTTAATTTTAACAATTATACCCAAATGTACCAAACAACAAAGCATTGTAATAAAAAGATCACTAGGCCCAGCATGATAGCCTAGGAGTTAAAGTCCTCGCCTTGAACACTCTGGGATCTCATGTGGGCACTGGTTCTAATTCCAGCAGCTCCACTTCCCATCCAGGCATCAAGGACTTTCTGGAAGAGCTTCTTTGGGACATGATACGTGGGCAGTTTGGAGCAAAGAGATTGACTACCTGGTGAAATAATTACAAAGAGGAGATTGAGGCAAGTTGGCAGCAGTCAGTGGGAGAATGGTGACTACCCACAGATGTACGTGGAAGTAGGTTCCACACAACAGAGGCAAATGAAGAGCATCTCAGCCTTGACAAGGGAAGATGTAAGGGAAAGGCAGTGAAAGGAGAGTAACAATTAAATAGTACCTTTCCTACACTAATCACTTCTTTCACCAAATCCTCCAAAGCAACTTCGCTGGTGCTGAGATCTGAAAACCAGGCTTGCCAAAGACAATGAGGCTCAAAATCCAAGGCCTGGAAGTACAGTTTAAAATTCCTAACTCTGTGATGAGTGTGTGCCAGACTTGAAACACAAATCTAAAATTTGCAGCTTATACTTGTTTTCTAACTTCACAGGAAATCCAAAGGGCAGAGCACATGAGAAAATGGAAAGAGAGACTTGAGAAAAAGTATTACTCTGCAGAAATTCAGGATGACTACCAGCCTGTCACCCAACAAGAATTCCGAGAGTAAGCATTTGCTTTAGCCGGCGCCTGCAACTGTGTGAGATGGGCTTAGGACATTAGTTACACCGTTTTCCTGAATCCAAAACCTTACTGGGCTAAAATTTGTTCATTTTCTACCAAATCTTGAAGCACATGAGTATTTGCTTCACAGTGAAAGATCAGTTTTTTACATTACGTTACATCTAAGCCAGGCGAGATGGGCTATTGTCTTCCTTCTCAAAGCATTTCTCGGGACCAATGCAGCAATGTAGCATCCCAGTTCTTCGTCAGCATGCCGTACTGGCACCAGTTCCAGCTGCTCCATTTGCTATCCAGCTATTGTTTAAGGGAGTGGCACAAGGCTTTGGGTTACTGCACCCACGTGAGACACCCCAAGCTAGGAGGCTGGGGCTCCTAGTTCCCAGCCTCAGTCCAGCTCTAGCAGTTGTGGCCATTTAAGGAGTAAGCCAGTTGGTGGGATATATTTCTTTCCTACTCTCTCTCTAACTCAAGGAAAAATGAAAAAATCTTAACAAAAAAAAAGGGCACCCTTATTAGGCACTAAAAATCTACTTTATGTTGACTTACTCTCTACTTCCGTTTAAATTATCTTTTAGACTCTTTTTATATGCTGTGGAGCTGGAGAAGGAATTACACTACATCAGTTTAAAACTAAACCGAGTGATGAGAAAGTTTTCAGCTCTACAAGACAAGTGAGGTAGGAATCTGACACAATCACTGAGTGATTTATTCATGCATTGAACCTAAAGTTGTTCTCATTTCAGTCACACCGAAAAAACTAAAACTAAACCACCTCAGGGGTCAATTATAATAACCAAGTGATTTCTGAGACTTCTGTACCTCAGAAGAAACCTACTACACATAGCCCATGTGTATGCTACAAATGCCTCCAGTACACACACACACACATAACTTTCTAAGATTTATTATTAAGTTTGGGCAATGTGAAGTACAAAATGTTTATGGTGCAGGTCTCTAAAACAGTCCAGTCAGTAGGTAAAGTTTCCTCATTGGTACAGGGTAGAATTATAGGTGCTTTCAAGTGCACAAGTACCAGTTTCAACTACCATTGACCATAGATAATTAAAGGCTTAAAACTTTAAAAAAGCATTACATAAGATTCAAATAAAATAACCTCCCTCCAACTTTCAGATCAACAAACTCCTCGACCACCTAAGAACTTTCACTGGTATCTTCAAGCTGAAAATTCCCCTAGACAGTTTACAGAGTGACACATTTCGGGTTTTCTAGAAACAAAGCAAATGAGAATGCTGCAACAGCTCCGTCCTGATGACTGGAAAGTCATGCATGGCCAGCCTTTTAATAACTGGAAAGAAATTCTTCAAATTTTTCTAAGCCTGCCATAGCTCTAACTGTTCTATGAGCCCAAGTACCATCTCTGGGCCACAGCACTCAATTTCACACCAGTACACAACAGTCCCCAGATTATTCGATCGAGACTCACCATGCTAAACCAAGCTCTCTTTCCAGACTGTACATCACAGCAAAACTCACTACTCTCTACAAGTGGTCTTGCCCTGACTTGCCAGTCAAACATCTGGTAACTCTATGTCCCCGAAACAGCCCTGCAACAGGGTAAACCAAACAAAGTGTAAGAACATTAAGGCAAGCAAACATTTGAGCTCTCCAACTTTTTTCCTTTTTAACACCTCTGGAAAATAAACAATTACAATGACTTAGGACATTAAAGTTCTTTTATTACAAAAGTCTATACAATGAAGTGCCAGTCATAGCAATGCAATTATAATGGTAGACATATATATATCTATATAATAATTTGTATATAGATATAGTTTTTATTTGTACCAAAGAAAAACTATCACAAACTGCCTAATTCTACTACCTACTGCTGAACTATGACACACAATACTGCCACACAGAAGTGTTGCCACGCCACTTTTACCTATTCTACATGCAGCCAAACATTAACATTGAATAACATCATGAAAGCAGCTGTTAATTCTAAAATGAAACCTGTCAGGCCACTGACTTATAAAAATATGGTACTCATATAGATTTAGTATTATAAAGGAATATATTATTTAAAACATTTAAATAGTGCATATGGACATTTTTGGATGTGGTATATAAAATAAAACATTCATATAAAATACACAGTGCACATAAAATCAGATGTTTGAACACACTCCTGTCTGGAGACTGAATTAACTGAAAGGTACACTGCATGATGGATTAAAATCAAAGTAATACATCTTTTGGCATTTTCAATTTCACTTTTTCTAGAAACACATTATGAATAATCTAGTATCAAAAGCAAACCACTCAAAACATTGGGGAGGGGAAGGCAGTTAGTGCTTTTTCTTTAATCCCCAACTACACCATTTACTACCACTGGATTTTCCCTCCCCCACAAAAAAGGCATTGCACAAAGAAGGTGAAATGTGAAGTAATAGAAATGCTATTTACTATTGTTACTTCATGTGCTTACTATGAAATAATGCCAAGGTTCATGCTTTCCTCACCTTATTAAATCATGTTGCAAAATTTAATTTGTTATGGCATAAATTGTTAATATTACCTATTTAAGGAAATCATGCATGGGTCATTGCATGCAAAACATGGGCACAAAGTGAGACACTCATCAATCCAATAAAGCACCACAAAATAAAAGCATTTAGATTAAGCCTGACCCAAGCCTGTTGTCACACTGTTAGCACAAACGAAGTCACCTTCTGTACAAATGACTAGCATAACCATACCAGCAGAGTACCTGAAGAAAAGCCATACAGAATCAGACCAAAGGAAGTGGCTAAGAGTCAATGACAAGGGGCATGCCACTGGCCATCCTGTAAACATCTGCTTACACAGCATGTGACAAAAGGCAGTCCCTTTGAGAGGGTATTGTTTGCATGGATTTTACTGACTGAAAGAGGAAAAGAGATGCAACCCCCTGAAGGTGTACGTAAAAATGCAGTGGTGCAGCCCTTGTGAAGAACAGATTTACTGTAGGCATAATGATCCTGCCAATTTAGGTCCATTTGATTGAACACAGAGATCTGAGCACCATCAGAATTCCTACCTACTGACATGGCTGTTTTCTCACATTTTCTGGAGCTGGGGGAGTTGGGGGGAGGAAGGAGGACAGCATGGGAGATCTGATCCAGACAAATCATATCACCACCAGCTGAGAAATGGGAACTCGGGAAACAACTCAAGCCCCACAGGAGCATGTGATGATGCAGCTCTGTGTCATGTGTGGCGTGTGTTTTCACTGCACTAAAAGCAAGGTCACTCTGTTATCTTCATCCAGGAATTGTGTGACCACTGAATTGCAAAATGTTGCTAGCATACTACCTGTGAAAAGGTGTCCCTTTGGGAATTAAACAGAAAGGTGTTCCACAGTAGGCTTTAAAACTTTTGATTTTGAAAGTTTTGATTTTGGTTTTCTAGGAAAACATAACACAGTTGCATATGTGCACTTTTATAGGCTTTTCTTTCAAATTTTCAGTCATTCTGTAAGAAAAAGGCAACCGAAGAATTCAGTGTGAAGACTTTCTCGTTTTTCTTCAGTAATGGAAAAAAAATGTTGGTGTAACAAAAAGTTTTGTATTTCCAAAGTTCTTGAAAGGATAAAATTCTAGTCTTTAGCTAATAGGATGTATCTGTAGTGCAAAACAATGAAGAAAACGGCATATGTTTCCTAGAGGTGGAGAGGTCGGTCTTGGTTACTATGGAACATCACACTCCTGAGAGGGGCCCACTTGCCCTCCCATCATTTGCTTTAGTGGCACCACAACCAAGTATAAAATGAAATTCTCTGAGTGCCTGAAAAAACGAACTCAAGTACCAGCCAAGTACACATGATAGCTTCAAGGGACACAACTGACTTTATGATGTGAACTTTTGAAGGAGCATATTTTATATGGATTTTGAAGAATCTTGTTTGCTGATAAGAACTTCAAGAAGCCTAAGCTTCGCTTTAATTTTCTTGTACTCCCTGTACTCCTCAAGCACTGGAACACGATCCTCTTTCTGGGCATTCCTAGGGGAAAAAAAATAAAAGCTGAGATAGCCTATACAGCATCTAGAAAATGCAAACGAGAAACTGCCCAGTTATACAGTGTTACCAAACATAAATCAAAATAAAAGTTGCTCTGACAGAAAAATGGTCATTAAGATTGATTCCCTCGTTAGCCACAGAACATTCTTTTAAAACTATTTTTTTATTTTATGAAATTCTCTATTAACACACTAAACAATGCTATATTTATCTATTTATTTACAAGTCAGTCACTGTTTCAATAAAAATCCAGTGCTGGACTCTGCCCTGTGTCTATTAGTGCCAGAAGTCATTTCCATACTTTTAACAAAATGTGGTTTTGATGAATTAAGATATAAAAGTACCTATAGCAAACAATTTATTTATAAATTTATACAAATTACCAAATACAATTCAGTTTAATCACTAAGTGCCAAATAATCCTCTGAGTATAATTTTTTTAAAGATCTACTTATGTGAAAGATAGAGCTACAGAAAGGGAGGCGGCGGTGGGGGGGGCGGAGGGAGGGAAGAAAAAGGAAGCAGTAGGAACAAAGAGGAAAGGAAAGAGGAGCAAGGTAGAAGGCAGATCTTGTGGTCAGCTAGTTACTTCACTCCCCAGCTGGCTGCAACGGCTGCGCCTGGCCAGACCAAGGCCAGGAGCAGCTTGCAGGTCAACCATGTGGATGCATCTTCTACCATGGTGGGCCATCTTCTACTGCTTTCGTAGGCACATGAATAAGGAGCTAGGCAGGAAAAGAATGTGCCCGTACAGACTGCTGGCATTACAGGCTAAACCTCCTATGTCACAAGGATGGTCCCTAAATTTTTATTTTCAAGGCTAACATCCTATATTCACAATTAACTTCTAATCTTATGTATTCCATTATTTTAGCATATGGGTACTTGTAAGGAGAGAGATGAATCAGTTTTGTGAGGCTCAACAAACCTCCCATTTTGTTGATAAAATGTCTCTTCAAATTCTCTTAATGTTTTACGTAGTTTCTTTTTTTCAGCTCTGGCTTTCCAAAGTTGTTCCAGTAATTCAGGCCTAAAATTTAATCGAGAAGGGGAAAAAAAAACATAATTGAAAGGGCACTGCTGATTCATTATATCCTCAACAATAGTTTGTATTCTTGGCTACAAATTGAAATAGCTGGGAACCATCTAACCATTCTAATGTTTTAACTCTACCATAACTCATGAAATCAGAATAGTTAAATGTAGAATGTGGGATTTAGTATCAATGCTTAAACCTTCACAACTGACTGGAAAACAGAGTCAGAAACACCCAGTCCAAAGATAAAACAGCTGACACAGAACAAACAGTAAGACTTTCTGTTGGTTCATGTAGCTTGTTGTAAATCAAACATGATGTTGCCTTCAAAACTACATCAATATTTCCTTAATAATTTTGCAGTTAAAAACATGCTTGTAAATCACCCTGAAAAGTGTATGTATATCCCATGGCTTTCTGGATTACTTTCCTGCGTTAATTCCTCCCAAGTGCTCAACCACATTTAACATAGCATTTCCTAGCACATAAATTTTATTACACAAATATGCTAAAATCACACACAAGCTCACATACATAGAAGCTGCACGAGTACTTGACAAGCGGAGATCCAGAGCCAATTTTTCTTGATTTTCTTCAATATCAGATTCAGAGTTTTCCAATGAACACTGTGCCTGCACAGTTTTCAAGATATCATTTAATTCAGAGGACAGACTAATACCATCTTCTTCTTCTTCCTAAAAAGACACCAGAGAATCAACAAACCATGACTTTCAACTTCTCCTTTAAAAAGAAGTCAGAGAATGATTTCACTAGAGGATTACCTTGATTTCTTCAAAAAAATGTGCAGTTTCTCCTTCTATAATTGGCTGTAACATCTGACCCCTTCGTTTGGTAGATGGAGATCCCTGTAACAATTATATACATTTTTACATATTAGATATTACAAAAAGTTAGAAGCATTTGCACATCACCACCTGGGATGTCGCTGTCCCACGTAGAAGGCCTGCTTTCAAGTCTCAGCTCTGTAATAATGATGGCTCAAGTAATCAGCTGACCAACCACTTAGGAGGGACACTCAGACTTGAGTTCCCAGCTCCTGGCTTCAGTCTGTGACTCAGTCACTTCAGGATCACTCATTTTTTAAAAATAATAGCCATAATAATAATTATAGCAAGTTAAGCCTCCACCTGTGATACTGGTATCCCCAAAAGATGCAATTTTGAGTCCAATTGCTCCATTTCCAATCCAGGTCTTTGCTAATGTGCCTGGGAATGCAGAGAAAAACAATTCAAATGCTTGGGGGCCCCTCTGCATCCAACCTGGCCCAGTCCTGACCACTGTGGCTATTTGCACAGTGAACCAGCAGATGGAAGATTCTCTGTATCCATTTGTTTTTCTGTAGCTGTGCCTTTCAATGAAACAAAAGGTTAAAAAATAGCCGTTAGTCCAGGAACCAAGCATAGTAGTTAAGACACCACTAGATAAAACTAGATTTTAGTCCTGGCTCCACTTCCAACTCGGACTCAACTAGTCTGGACAGACCCCGTTCCAGAGCTGTGGGAATTTGGAAACTGTTGAACAGTGTATGGGAAATCTCTCTATTCTTTCAAATAGATTAAATATACATTTATAAAATTAATTAGTAGGAGCTGATGTTGTGGTATAGAGGGCAGAGCCACTGCTTGCAATATTGGCATCCCATACAGGAACCTGTTAAGAGTCCCTGCTGCTCCACTTTTTAATCCAGCTCCATGCTAATGACCTGGAAAAACAGCAGAAGATGGTCCAAGTTCTTGGGCCCCTGCATGCACAGAGAACTAAAAGAATCTCCTGGTTTTTGGTTTCAGCCCCCTGGCACAGTCCCAGCTCCTGCCATTCTTTGGGAAGCAAATCAAATGGAAGAGCTTTCTCTGGTTCTCTCTGAAAATCCTTAAGATGAAGAAACCTTAAAATGAATTTTAAGTAGATATAAATGTTTGGTCTGAGAACTCGCTAAAAAAGATTTATTTATTTATTTATTTATTTATTTATTTGAAAGGCAGAGTAAGGAAAAAGGAGGAAGAGACAAGTCTTCCAACCATTAGCGGATCAAGTCTCCAAACAGCAGCAATGATGTGGTCGACAAAGCCCAAGCCAGGATCCAGGAACTCAATCCTGGTCTCCCAGGTGGGTAGCAGAGCCCTACATATTCAGGCCATTTTTCAATGCCTTCCTAGATACATTAGCAGAGAACTGGATCAGAAGCAGAGTAGCTGGAACTAAAACCACTACTCCAATATGGGAGCAGCTTAACTCACTATGCCAACACTGGCCTCCCTTTCACATTTCTCTGAAACAAAAAGCTATGTTGTTAAAAGCTTATTTATTTTTATTGAAAAGACAGGAGAAAAAGAAAAGACAGGAGAGATGGAAAGAAAGCTCTTCCATCTATTGGTTCACTCCCCCAGATGGCCACAACAGCTGGAGCTAGAGCTGATCTAAAGCCAGGAACTTCTTCCAGGTCTCCCATGAGTGTGCAGGGTCCCAAGACTTTGAGCTATCCTCTACTGCTTTCCCAGGCCATAAGCAGAGCAGCCAGCATGTGAACTGGCATCCATAAGGGATGCTGATACTTGTAGGTAGAGGATTAGCAAGTTGAGCCATCATGCCGTCCACAAAAAGTATTTGAGAGTTTTGTAAAGATTTATTTCTTTTTATTGGAAATGGAGAAGAGAATTACAGAGAGGAGAGACACAAAGATCTTCCATCTGTTGATTTACTCCCCAGATGGCTGCAGGAAGCCATCTAGGTCTCCCATGTGGATAGCAGGAGCCCAACACTTGGAATGGCCTTTAGAAGGGAGCTAAATCAGAGGTGGAGCAGATAGAATACAAACAGGCGACCACACAGAAAGTCAGTACTGCAGCTAGTAGTTTTACCTGCTTTTACCAAAATGCCAGGTTTCAATTTCTTAACCTTTCTTTTTCTAAAATTTTTAATTATTATATTATCATTTTATGATACAGTTCCACAGGCCTTGGGATTTCCCCCACCTCTTCCCCGATCTATCCCTTCCATATCATTACAACAATACATTTCCTCATAGACAGTCATAGTACATCATTGCAGGCATGGACAATGGCAGAGAATCCAGCATCCCAATTGTCAAGACACATCCAACAGTTTCACTGGGAGTCGATCCTCAATCTGGAGGTAGAGATGCACACTGCACTGTATCCTCAAATCTGGACATGCCATGGACAAGTCAATCTATAAATCACTATAAATCCCCCAAAGTGAAAACCCACAAAACAAAACTGGCAACTGCTAGGGTTCCTGCAGTGGATATGGGGGACACAAAGGTGTGAAGAGTACTTTTCCATTGCAGGCAGGGGCCCGGCAGATGTTTGTACAAACCACCTGAAGGCAGTCCCACCTCCCTTTACTGCGTGGACACTGAGAAATCTGTAATCTATTCAGGCAGTTTGTCTCTGTGGAAGTTGATGTTGCTGATAAGTCTTTCCAAAGGGCCTTTTACAATTCATGCTGTCTCTTGTTGCCCCAACTGACCATCCTTGATCTTTAGGTTTCCCTTTTTGTGTGATGCATTTCTTCCTTCAACTGATTCAAGATTAAGTTGTAGAATGAGGATTGTAGTAGGAATGTGCTACTGATTAATATGAGAAGTTAAATTGAGAAACTTCTATTCAGCTTTTAGGTGAAACAGCAGAATTATTCTTGGAAACACCCACTTGACTATAATGTCAAGTCTGTGCCAGTGCTTGTGAGGCTTAATGTATAAATAAAGGGGACAGCTTTCTTGCACGGTCCATTATGATCCTGAAATTGTAGTGGTCCACTTATTTCCTCTTTAAACCTAATCCACACACCTTCACAAGTTCTGAACTCAGCTGGAGCTGGGACTCCGGCAAACAGGAAGAAATACAAAAATTTACAATGCCATGAAGTTAAACCATGGCAGTGGATATGATGGTCTCCATTATAGTTACTACACATCACCTTAAATGAAAAGTCACAAAACATAACAACAGGAAGAAAAAAAAAATTAACAACATCATGAAGTTAAATAATATGTTACTGAATGACTAATGTGTTGCTGAAGAAGTGAGAAAGGAAATCAAGAACCTTCCTGATTGAAAATGATGCCACTCTATGATCTATGAGCCAGTGAAGAATTTAATCAGAAGCAACTGTTTTGAAGAGATGAAACTAACAAAACATCAAAAACCATGATACAGTTTTTGCTAATTTTTGTTGGTAAAATGTGTCTCCTAAAGGCAACTGTTTTGTTTTTTGATCTAGTGCACTAATCTACAACATTTGATTGATGAGTTTAATTCATTTACATTCAGGGTTAATATAAATAGTAGTCATTTGTTCCTGTCATTTAGCAGTGGATTGTCATTTCATTTAGTCTTCCGTTGTTCTTTTACTGGAATGTTCGTCACATTTGCATTTGCTTTTGATGGGTGCTATTCCTTTTCTGTCAAGAGAACATCTTTAAGTATTTGTAGGGCAGGTTTGGAACAGGCACACTCTTTTAATTTTCTTTATTGTAGAAGAATTTGATACAATTTTCAAAAACAAAGGAAAGCTTTGCTGGGTATGTTTTTCTGGGTCAACAAGTTTTTGCTTTTAGAATCTGGGATATGTCACTCCATTCTCTTCTGGCCAAGAGTTTCCTTTGAGTCACCTCTGAGTTTAATTGCCATTCCTGTGTATGTCAGTTTTTTTCATGAGCACATTTAAGGATCTTTTCCTTATGTTCAATTGAAGAAAGCTTGATTATCATGTGTCTTGGTGAAGATCACTTTTGGTCAACCGTACTGGGAGTTTTGTGCCCTCCTGGATGTTATTTCCCAGTTCTTTCTCTAGATTAGGGAAATTTTCCCTTATTTCATTGAATAAACCTTTACTCCCAGCTTCTCTTTCTATAACTTCTGGAACTCCCATAACTCTTATATTTGACCTTTTAAAAGTGTCTTTCAATTCCTGAATACTGGGTTTTAGTTTGACCCAGCTCTGCTTCCAGCTTTTTGCTTATTTCTTTCCAGTAACAGAAAATATCTTCTCAGATTCTTTCTTCTGCCTCCTTCATTCTATTTTGGAGACTCTCCACTATACTTTTAATTTACTCCACTGTATTCCTCATTTCTAATGTATCAACTTCCATTTGATTCAGTTCCAATGTGACATATTCCTAGAATTCCTTGAATGCCTGGTTTATGCGCTTCTCGTTGTTGATTAGAAGCTTTATAACAAGTGTTTTAAATTGTGCGTCACCTATTTTCTCGATGTCTTCCTCAGTGAACTCTGAGTTTGGCAATGGCTTTTGCTCCTTTGCAGGGGAGTCATCAGTAATACTCATTATACCTCTGCCTCTTCTTTTGCTGTTGCTCATTGTATTTCTGGTTAACAGATTCTTCTCCGTAGGACAAGTTTCCAAGCTGTATCACAGGCCTGCAGTTTGATTTTACTTATTGTGGCTGGTACCCAGTTCTTTCTGTGCAGTCACTTGTGCCACTCACTCTAGCAAGTTTCAGATCTGGGCTCTTACGTTAAACTTCCACCGTGGTCTGCGTAGCCCAGCTCCAGACTCAGCACTTTACCAGCTGTGATCCCACACTATTGTTGCATCGTTGTATGTACAACATTTCTTCCAATTCTGGTTCATGCAGTTCACAGAATCATAGCAAATGCACAGCTCACTGCTGTCCAAACGTTTGCCACACTGTACAAAATGGTGCTTGATGTGAAATTGTGGAGTTCTTGATCTGCTGGCCATTAGGTCTTGGGGCTACCCAGACCTATTTTGAGTTTCGCTCCCAGCTTAGTGCATGCCCAATCCTATCAAATAGCCATTGCCTCCCTAAACAAGGTGGCACCCGATTCAGCTCTAGTGGGGGTTTTGCTGGGATATTCACCCTGTCCCTGCCCTGCCTATTTGGGATCTGCTGCTCTGTCTCTCTCCTGGTCAAATCAAACAAATCAGCAGGACAGGCAATTCTTTGTCTGGGTTCACCTCCTGAGTTCCTGGTGAACTTCCCTTCCCACCTGGTTGCTGGTGGAGTTCAGATTGCCACTTGCTGAATGCTGCTGGCATATTGGGTCACTGCAGCACCACACTGTTGTCTCCACTGCTTTCCTGTGTCCATCAGTCTCCAGATGCCCCTCTGCTGTCGATCTGTCCTCTCCTATTTCCTGGAATGTGCCCTCTTTGCTTCATCCTGGCTAATGTTTCTCTGTTTAAATGTGTCCTCACCCTATTCCACCATTTTGATTCTCCAAATAATTTCCCAATTACAATTCTACCTTGCTAATGTGTTTCTCCAGTATATCACAACAATTTCTTCTGGATAAGAACATCTTGATGAAATGAATTAGAGAAATATTTGCTTAATGTTTTACTTACAAGAATTGGAGTGATGCTCGCTCTCGTAAGCATCTGTTTTACAAGCCTATATCTATCATAGAGAGGTTTAACAATGTGCCTTTCTTCCCTGGTCACCTGAAACATGAGAAAAGAAAATCACCTAGTCATCAGAAATCAAGTGTCCAAAACAAAAAAACAAATCATGATGTCTCCTCCAAAGTTTAAAATTTTGTATTAAATAAAAAGGCAATTCCCAAGTACAGAGAATAATACTCTATAAAACAGCTCTGAAAAACGCAGGCCACAAAAATGATTTTATGATCTTTCTTCATATAGGAAATCAAATCTTTTTTTTTTTAATCAAATCTTTCTTAGCAAGAGAAACATTACCGGCCTTCCATGTTGACTTTCGTAGTAAAGAAGACTTTTTTGGAGAGAGGCTTTCTCTTCTACCAAATGATCTTTTGTCATTTTCTAGAATTAAAAAAAAAAAATAATCAATCTCATCACTCCCAAAATGTACATAATTAAGACTGAAAAGGCAAAACCATTGCCTATCTAGCCCAGCTAAACATATCCTTTACAGATCTACTAGCAACATTTTGAGTCTGCCCCAGAATTTGGTCTTATTTTAAAACAGCTACCACTTGCAATGATGACACCAGTGTAGTTTCCTCTGAATAAATTATGAATACTGGTTTGAGTAAGTTACATAATTTGTTTATTCAGTATCTTTATCTATTAAGTGAAAATACTTCACCCTACCAAAAAACACTGTAACTGAGAACTAAATGAGTTAATATTTGGAAAGCATTTACAATACTACCACATTTCAACTGGCCACATGGGGCTATAGAATAGCATTGCAAGCTATTTCTCTTCCTGTGATGCTAGCATCCTTTATGTGCACCAGTTCAAGTCCTGGTTATTGTACTTTCGATTCAGCTCCCTGCTTATGGGCTGGGAGACCTGTGAAGAAGCTCCTGGCTTCTGATTTTGGACCTGCCCAGCTCTGGCTATGGCAATCATTTCAAGAGTGAATCAGTGGATATAATATCTCTTTGTCTCCCCCTCTCTGTGTAACTTTTTATGTTTGAAAAACGGTAAATACATCTGGTCACATGGAATGGGGCTGGGCCAGCCTAAAGCCAGGAGCCAGAAGCTTCATGTAAGTCTCCCAAAAACAGAATCATCTACTGTTTTCCCAGGTGTATTAGCAGGGAGATAGATCTGAAATGGAGCAACCGTGACTCAAACTGATACTTACATGGATGCCAGCACTGCAAACAGCAGTTTAACCTGATGTGTCAAAGCAGAGGTCTCCTCCTAATTATTTTAAAACAGTAATATTATACAAAGATCCTTTGAAAAGCTCAGCAATGAAAAGTTGAGACATCAGACTCTACTGTGACCCCAGTTACCCTTTTATCTGGGTCGGTATACTGTATATACTAGAATACTTTTCTCACACTTATCAACAGCCTCAATGAGAGAGTGAGGCAAGATTTCCCAAATTTGTCCATGGAACCTTCCCCCATTGTGGTATTGAATCACCTATTAACATTTCTGTTTAACAACATTTCAAAGAATACTCTTTTTTCAGGGGCTGGTGTTGTAGAGAAACTGTCAAGCCACCTGCACAAAATGCTGGCATCCATGTCAGAGTTCTAGTTTGAGTACCGGGAAAACAATGGAAGATGCCCCCAAGGACTTGGGACGCTATCATCTACACTGGAGCCCTGGACAGAGTTCCTGGCTTCAGTCCCAGTCCTTGCTCTTACTACTATAGCCATCTGGGGAGTGAATCAGTGGATGATGATCTGCTTCTCATGCCCTCTCTGAGTCACTCTGCCTTTCAAATAAAATAAAAAACTACACAATGGGACCAGGGCGGTAGCCTAATGGCTAAAGTCATCACCTTGCATACGCCAGGGTCTCATGTGGGTGCTGGTTTTGTATCCTGGCTGCTATGCTTCCCTTCCAGCTTCTGCTTGTAGCCTGGGAAAGCATTCAAGGAGGGCCCAAAGCCTGCACACACGGGAGACCTGGAAGCTCCTGGCTCCTGGCTTAAGACTGGCTCAGCTTGGGTCTGGTTGCGTGACCTATCGGCTTAAGTCCTCGCCTGAACGCCCTGGGATCCAATATGGGCACCGGTTCTAATCCCAACAGCTCCACTTCCCATCCAGCTCCCTGCCTGTGGCCCGGGAAAGCAGTTGAGGACGGCCCAAAGCTTTGGGACCCTGCACCTATGTGGAATACCCAGAAGCTCCTCCTAGATCCTGGCTTCGGATTGGCATAGCATCGGCCGTTGCGCTCACTTGGGGAGTGAATCATTGGACAGAAGATCTTCCTCTCTGTCTCTCCTCCTCTCTGTCTATCTGACTTTCCAATAAATAAATAAATCTAAAAAAAAAAAGATTGGCTCAGCCTGTTGTGGCTAAATGAGAGTGAACCAGAGGAATCCTCTCTGTCTCTCCTTCATTCTGTCAATATGACTTTCCAACAAAAATAAATAAATCTTTTTTTAAAAATTACACAATGGATTAAGACACTGTTTGCAATGATGGTATGCCAGATGGATGCAGGTTTCAGTTCCAGCTACTCTAGCTCCCTGCTTATGTCTGCACCGTATGAGAAACCCGGATGAAGCTCCAGGCTCCTGCCTTGGTCCTGGCCAAGGCTGTCATCTGGGGAGTGAACCAGGTCATAGAAAATCTCTACCTCTCCTCTCTAATCTCATCCTTCAAATAAGTAAAAAACAAATCCTCAAGAAATAAAGAGGAAAATCAACTACTAGACCAAATTAACTCTATCAAGAGATGTTTAAAAAAAGATACCGTATAATATCGTCCCTTAAATAGGACTCTAGATTTCTAGATTATATACATTCAGTGGAGCATAGCTGAGTGTAGACTCTACAGAACATTATAATCTCAAGCTTCGGATGGTGAGTTCAAGAGAAGTTAAGCCAGTCAAAATCTCTTTATATGAGGGAGAGTAAATACAGACATTTTCTGACAGCACTTGGGTCACTACTTGGGTTGTCCACACTCCATGCTAGAGTTCTGGGTTTGAATCCTATCTGTTTCACTTCCAACCCAGTTTCCTACTAATGTGCACACTGGGCAGTAGTAGGTGATGGATGGTTCAAATGCATGGATCTCTATCACCAACATGAGTGACTGAACCCTGGGTGCTGTAGGCATCTGGAGAGTGAAGCAGCAGATGCAGCATCTGTCTCTGGGACTCTGCCTTTAAAATAAAGTTAGTATATACATATATATATTTTCTATTTAAGCAAAAGACAAGTTAGGTCTTGTTTCAGTGACAGACTCCAATGTTTACAGCATGAAAAGACTCACCACTCCCGAAATTTTAAATTTCATCTGAATTAACTGAGCCACCGATAGCCTTGAGTAGCACAGCCCTAGCCACAGATTGTAACTATACTATGATTCTTCAAAAAAAAAAAAAAGTTAATTCATTTAAAGCTGATAACCTCATCAATCATGGATGTTTTCTTTCTCTCTCTCTCTCGTTTTTTAAACATTTATTTATTTTTATTGGAAAGTCAGATATACAGAGTGGAGGAAAGAGAGAAGATCTTCCATCCTAGGATTCAAAATCGGGTCTCTTTCAGGTTTTTATACTCATCTTACCAAATGCTTACATTATAAATAAAACCACCTCCATTTCTTGAATCCCTGAAACACCCGGCACTTCTGACGTGCTGATAAAAGTACATTTCAGAATCTGCATATCTGAAGAGCAAACTCAGGCAGGCAAACTACCAGGACATCTTACTCTTACTGAGGTAACTGGTTTTGCTTGAGATTCTCAAGAGTATCTGGGCAAAAATCCTAGCTCAGGATACCTTTATATCTTCTGGAAGACATCTCTCCGCACGCTTTTCTTTCAATCTCCTCAGAATAAGCTCAAGGGTTGCCTCTTTAGATGGCTTCTTCTCCTTCTGAACAACTCTGGAATCATCTTCCTTCTCTTCCTCATCATGGTCTAGAGAAGATCCAAAGCTTTTGGGAAGGGTGTTACTTCGTGGTCGTGTCTGAGGTACAAATTCTCCATCAGAGCTTTTGTGCTTTGCATCTACATTTCAGAAACAAAAGGAGAGAACAATCAAGACTAAGTTAAGCTATTAATGTTACCTGGTCAAAGAGTAAACAAGAGAGCTGGTCTCTTTATTCTTTTAACAAATATTCTTAGAAAGTCTGTCATATACTAACGAGACTCTTTAAAAATATTAAGATCTATTTCATTATTTTTTGTAAGGCAGATTTTATGGCAAGAAGGAGAGGGAATAAGATCTTCTATCTGCTGGTTCACATCCCCGTAGCCACAACAGCTGAAACTAAGCCAATCTAAAGCCAGGAGCTTCTATCCCATATTCCACATAGGTGCAGGGTTGCAAGGACTTGGGTCATTTCCATTGCTTTCCAGGCCATAAGCAAAGAGCTACATCACAAGTGAGGTAGCCAGGACATGAACAGGTACCCATATGTGAGGCATGACACAGGGCAAGAAGATTAGCCTGCTGTGCCACCATACTGGCCTCAACTTTTATTTGAAATGCAGAGTTAACAGAAAAGAAACGCTAAGACACCTTCCATTAGCTGGGTCTCTCCCCCAGATGGCTTCAATGGCCATACCTAGGACAGTCCAAAGCCAGAGCCAGGGGCTTCTTGTGGGTCTCTCACATGGGTGGAAGGGCCCAAGGACTTGGGACCCTTTCCTAGGCACATTAGCAACGTGGAGCAGCCAGTACACCAAGAGTAATAGTTTAGTGGCTAAATCTTCACCATCCATATGCTGAGATCCCATACAGGTGCTGGTTTGTGTCTGGCTGTTCCAATTCCCATCCAGTTCCCTGCTATGCAGGAAATGAAGAAGAAGCTCCTGGCTTCAAATCAGTTCAGCTCCAGCCATTGTCAACACTTGGGAAGTGAGTAAGCATATGGAAGCTCTTTCTCTGTCTCTTCTTTTCTGTAATCTGCCATTCCAATAAAAATAAATAAATATTTGAAAGAAACAGAAAAAGAAAGGAAGGAGGAAGGAAGGGAGGGAGAAAAGGAAGACATGAGTAGCCAGGACTTGAACCAGCAACCTCAGGGGAAACAGGCACTGCAGGCAGAAGCTTAATGTACAACATGACAGCACCAGCCCAAGATACTCTCATCAGCACACAGCTAAAGTAGTAAACTACACACTGTTCTCATGAGGTATATATTCAGAGAAGAAAAAACTATAACCAAGTATATAGATTAAAGTAATTCCAAAGGCTGCTAAATATGGAAAGAAGGCAAAATGGAGTCATCCAACTATAGACAACTGCCTAGGTTGCTCTTACCTAGACAAGTGTTACCTTGCTGCAAGCAAAGCTAGCAAGCATGCTGGGTCTGTTTAATGCCAAATCTGCATTAACTATACCAGTGTGTCAACATAGTTACCTATTTAATTTTATTATTGATGATGTTTACATAGTTGTGAAGAATGCATGTACATCTGGACTACTGATCAGGATAGAAGAGCCAAGGAACAGGGAAAAGTGGATGAGATGATTTGTTTCCATGGAAAGCTGGCCGGCAGCACTAACTAGTACCTGAGAGAACCGGATCTGGGAGCAGATTCTATAGACACTTGTGGGCTCATCTGTGGGACTGCAGCACCCACTGATTTGTGTGGAAAGCTGGGAGTGGTGATGGGCTGAACCTGGTTGGATTACGGAACTCATCTGACACTGGCAGGAGCTGGGACTGGGAGGGGACCGGGCTAGTCCAGACCATGCAGGTACCAGGACTGAGATCAGACCATGCCTAGCAGGACCCAAGGCACCTGCCAGCACACCTGAGATCTTGAACTGGGAGAGGGCCTGGAACAGGGACTTGGGGAACTCCCCTGGTAGACTGCAGCTACTGCTATCTCCTATACAAGTTTGAAACACATACCCAGATACACATTAAAGACAAGACAGCCTGTTCCTCCAATCCAACAAAATATCAAGTAGTTCTCCAAAGGGTGAAAAGAAATGCAAGTCAAATAACACAGCAACAATTTCACAACCAGTACCAAAGTCTTTGAATACTCTGAGGAAGATATGGACAGCCAACAAAGTTTAGAACTTTCACAGAGACAACAATAAAGAACCTGTATGAAGACAGATGCAATTTGTCATCTCTTATATAGAAAAGCCAACAACCTCTCAAGTAATTTAGTAATGTTTTGGGGTACACAAACATGCCCACTGAAGATGAACTCTCAGGCCAGCGACAGGGGTGTTACAAGCTTAGTGCCACAGGCCAGAAGTTGCACCACCCCCACTCTGTGAATCTCACCCCCATACCACTCAATTAATCCCCTCTCCCCAGAACTTATCTGCCCCACTGTGGTCCCTGAGGCAGCAAATGGGACCCACTCCATATCCTGGCACTGCTGTGGTCTGACCTCCCCCCGGGGCACAGGAGGGAAGGCATATTTCCACCACCTCCATCCTCACCATCCTGGCTGATGACCCCCATGAGTCTGCAGTCCTCTTTTGTAATGAATATTAAAAAAACAAAGTTAAAAAGAAAATGAAATGAAAGTGATATACCTGACAATGGAAAAAGTGCAAGGATAAATTTTCTACCACCAGTTTATCAAGAAATATACAATCTATGATACCTTCCAAAAAAAATACTAAATTAAGACATCTTAATATGCAACTTTGTCCTTAACAACTACAGCAAACTTCTATTCTTGCTATAAAGTGCTCAAAATTTTAAATCCTCAAAATTATAACTGTATTCTAGACAATATAAAGGACATCTTAAAAGGCATGGTAGCCTAGTGGCTAAAGTCATCGTCTTGCATGTGCGGGGATCCCATGTGGGAGCAGGTTCTTATCCCGGCAGAACCACTCCCCACCCAGCTCCCTGCTTGTGGCCTAGGAAAGCACCTGCATAGGAGACCTGGAAGAAGCTCCTGATTGCTGGCCTTGAATTGGCTCACCACCAGTCATTGAGGACACTTGGGAAGTGAATCATCAGATGATTCTTCCTCTTTGTATACCTGACTTTCCAATAAAAATAAATAAACCTTAAAAAATTAAAATAGACAACAAAATGGTGTATCTCATACCTTTAATTTGTTTCCTCAGTTTAGTGAGCTCTGTCATCCACTTTAACACCTTTGGATTGGCTGCAATATCACTGTAGGAGGGCTGAAAAATTAAACCAAAGTTATTATCACTGGTAAGAAAAAGCAAAGTATTTACATCTATCTCAGCACAGATTTCACTCAACCTTTATTTTCAAATTAATTATACACAGCAAGATATTACACAAAACTCTCCCAGAGCACAGAGCTGGCAGAATAGGAAGTCAGTGAGTCTTCTGACTCCAAATACAGGGTTCTGTCACACCTCACATGTGCTTCCCATTGAATCAGCCTCCCTTCCTCCCACCCTCCCTCTTTGCTCATAACACTATTTTTGACAGTTAACTTATTAACATAGTGTTTTCTTTAAAAACTCTAAACACTTTGTATTTCACCAGTGTAAATACAAAGATTCAGTGGTACAATAGCAATTACACTGGCCTGGAAATCAGATTGTTGAAGACTCATTGGATTTCAGATCCATAACACCATTAATTTTCTAGGCAGACTAGACTTGCTACCTCCTGCTCTCTAATGACCCTATTTCCCATTCAAATACAGTATATAACTAATTCTGGGCAAGGATACAAATTTACCTTGCTATTTCTTTCCCTTTCAAACTGCTCTTCAAATTGTCTTATTTTTTTCTGCAGTTTCTTGACCAACTGGTAAGGTGTTCTGTCTTCTCTTTTGTCATCTTTTGAACTAAAGGATGATCTTCGAATCCTGAATTCAAATGAAAGGTCAATCCTGTGAATTAATTAAGTATCTTTTCATAGTGAAATAAAGTCCCTAAATAGATAGGACATATAGCAAAAAGGAGCACTATACTACTACAGTCCACAAAATTAGCTAACATCAAATGAATCACTTAAAGCTTATTTGGATAACAGCAGAAAACAATACCGCGCCCAGCACATCGGCTCAACAACTAAATCCTCGCCTTGCATGCGCTAGGATCCCATATGGTACCAGCTCATATCTCAGCTGATCCAGTTCCCTGCCTGTGGCCTGAGAAAGCAGTAAAGGATGGTCTAAAGCTGTGGAACTCTTGCTCCTGGCTTCTGATTGGCTCAGTTTCAGCCATTTCAGCCATTTGGGAGGTGAACCAGCAGATGGAGGATCTTTCTCTCTATATCTCCTCCCTGTAAAATCTGCCTTTCCAATGAAAATAAAAATAAATCCTCTAAAAAAGGAAAAGATATCCAGCAAATCAGGTTTCTTTTATGTCCCCAACCATAAGTTTCTAACATTCAAAATCATCAATTTAGTTTTGGCAAAAGGATTAGAAACTAGTCAGCTACACTTGCTGCTACAGAGATTTGTATTTCAATCATGACTGAATAAATACACGAATACACAACCTCTCAATGAACTCAGAATTTAAAATCAAAGCTCATCACAAGGCCGGTGCTGTGGTATAGCTAGAAAAACTACCATGTGCACTACCAGCATCCCATATGGGGCCAATTTAGAGTTCCAGCTTCTCCACCTTTGCTCTGGCTCCTTGTCAATATCCCTGAAAACAACAGCAGAGGATGATCTAACTGCCTGGGGCTCTGCATCGATGTGGGAGACCTGGAAAAAGCTCCTGGATTCAACAAGTCCAGTTCTGACTGATGTGGTCACTGGGAAGTGAACCAGTAGGTAGAAGCGCTCGCTCTCTCTCTTCCCCCCACCTTTTTATGATTCTTTCAAATGAATAATAATAATAATAAAAGCTTTATGAAACATGGAAAAAAATCTTTGAAACACAGGATAAAGTAACTAAATCTCTGAGGATCTTAATAGAAAATAGCAATCACCTATCCTAAAAAATTTAAAAATATACATACCTAGTAAAAGAGAGTGCTTTAGATGAGGAACCCAACATTTCTGGGTCATGTAGGAAACGCTGGCTCTGCCCAAAATCTAGACTGCGATGTGATAACACGGGAGGACAGTCCTCTTCCAGAGGATGGTGATTCATTCTTCCAGCCTGGGGAGACAGCTGAGCTTCTCCAGATTCATGATCTTCCTGCCAAGACTTAAAAGCAGGAAATGGTTCTGGAAAACAAACACAGAGAATGCTACCATTGGTCTCTTGATTCCATCAGAGAAAAACCGTTCTTGAAGTCACAGCATTACATTGTGGTTCATATGTCACATATACACTGAGTGACATTACGATCATCATAAAGCTTACTGTAGTTTAAAAAGATCAATGTTTCTGGTTTTAGCCCGAGTTCTACTTTCACATTAGGAATTACAACTTAAATTTCCAAATCCACTAGTAAAGAAAAGAAAGACTGCCAAGCTTTTTAAAATTACTTAATCTGAAGATGTAAATGTAATATTTCAAAGTTATTACAAAGAAAAATGTTACTTCAAGTTGGGAAAAGTATTTATTTAAAACAATAAATAATAACAATTCTTCATCAAGAAATCAATTTACATGTATAATGCTTCCAGGTGAACTGTTCTTTGGGTGCTCTTCCCAACACTGCACAGAACACACAACAGTACCTTCTGATCCAAGATTTACTCTAACAGTTCCAGATGAGGCCCTTACTTAGCAGACGGTACCTCATCTATAATAGTGGTAATTTATCTTCTGAGACTTCAAGGTATACATACATTCTACTGATTAAACAGCCAATAATATTAGCACAAAACTTTAACAGCACTAGTTCTTCTGAAGCATACGCATTCTACTGAAGTTAATCTGTATGCTTTTCAAAGGAAATCACATTAACACATTTGAAATCTTTGCACACAAAAGCTTGGATTACATACAGAATATAGATCGTATACATAATCCACAAATACATCCAACATACAAAACTAATAAGCATCACTGGAGAGAGAACTTATCTATTCACATACTAGCTTTATTTATACATAAAATTTAAAACTTGGATGCAATGGTTAATAAACACTAACAGTGTCCAAATTTCAAGTCGTTTTTTCCCTTTACAGTGTCTAAGATGACTACTTTAGCAATTCAGTTCAACTTATACATTAGCAATCTAAAGCATCACCTTTTTTCCATATTAATATAATTTAGTTTGTTTTTAAAGTTCAAATCAATCTAGTAACTAGAAATTGAGTACAAAGCATGCAATCCCATAATAAACCCAGAATAAAAGTGATTTTCAAAGTAACCCTTGTACCTGTGTCCCAATTAACAAGCAACTAGTAACAAAAAATGCAATGAAAATCTGTTTCATAGAAAGAGGGAAGTTATAAAAACCTTTTTTTTGGGGGGTGGGTGTTGTTTTTAACCCAAAATAGCTTTCCTAAGATTTGGGGGACAGCAGGAGAAGGGCTAATAAAGGCAAACAAACTGAATCATAAGAAGGCAAAAACTAAACTATGGTGAACCATACTTACCCTCCCCATCTCTCTGCAGATGCATTGTTTTGAAATCAATGAGGGGAAAAGTGATAGGACATGACGCTAATAAAATGGAAAAAATGGCAAAAAATACTAAAGTGAACACACAGCACAGTCAAAACAAACCATACACATAACACAAAGCCAAAGATACCAAAAACATTTCCCTACAATCAGTTTGGCTTTCTGTTAAAAACCTTTATTCAAAGAAATAACTACAAACCAAACTTTAACAAACATACATTTCCATTTTAGGAAATAAGGCAGAAAAAAGAAATTCAAAGTAGTGCTGGGTTGTTTTGTTTTGAACTCAGACAAGACTGAAAAACTAGAAACTGTTGAACAGGTACCATTTGAAGCTTTTCAGTATAATTCATCTGAAAAGGGGGGGGGGGACCCTCTCTCAGTTGGTCCTCTGAAAACACCCTAACATATTCCATTTCAGAGTTAAACCCAAGTTAGCAGGAGGAAAATGGTTTCCATTTCCACTAAAGCCAAGACTTTCTGAACAGCTACTATAAATTCATATTGGTGGTGGTACATGCTGTTTACTAAGTGCATTCTGCTGACTACTCTTTTGCCAACAAAATAAAAATCAAGTCACATACACTTGGGAATAGTGAGGTTAGCTGATCTCAAGACACCACAACTTCTCTACCTAAGCTGACATCAAACAAAATATGCCTGATAATAAGTAGCCAGGGTCTAAACAAAGTAACTTGGTCTCTCTTGATTAAGACCCTTTAAGATCCTCTTAATTGGGCCTGACATGGTAGACTAGCAGCTAAAGTCCTTGCCTTGAACACACCAGAATCCCATGTGGACACAGATTCTAATCCCAGCTGCCCCGCTTCCCATCCTGCTCCCTGCTTGTGGCCTGGGAAAACAGCGAAGAACATCCCAAGGCCTTGGGACCCTGAACCAGCATCGGAGACCTAAAAGAGGATCTGGGCTCATGGCTATGGATTGGCTCAGTACTGGTCTTCCTCTCTGTCTCTCCTCCTCTCTGTATATCTGACTTTCCAATTTAAAAAAATAATAATAAATCCTTTTTAAAAATCCTCTTAATTGTGGAAAATAATGTTCACTTTGGTGTCAAATAACACAGCTTACAAGCAGCCAATCTTCCAAGCACATGCACAGTTCATGGCTGAGAGGTTCCCTCAGCTGTTTTTACTGTTCTTAAAGTCACTGAGTCCTTTTCCTAGCAAAGCCAACAGGAGTTCTCCAAGGACATGTCATGGCACTTCGGCCAGGTGATTAACTAGGAGTCCTGTTCCCTCCATTCCCACTGAACAAAATAAACAATAAAAATCAGCTAAGCAGAAGATTATCTTTAGGGAAGCTTCCAAGAACATGAAACTAGACAGAGGACTTTCTTACTCCCTAGATAAAACAGTTTCTATGATTAAAATCTAAGATCAGGACCTCTAGGCCAAATGTCATGGAATACTACTTACTTGCATCTTCTAAAAGGAAAAAGCAAAAATGCATGTCACCTTCTTTCCTGCTGATCAGAACTCCTTCTGAGGAACTTTTCAGTGACAATGAAAAGGTTACTTCACTTTCCCTAATTCTAGGGAGCATCTTCAAAAACTCCAAACATCCAGAATAACTCAGAACAAAACAAATGAAACGTAATTTTCTAAGTTAGTCTAAGTTTAGATGCATAAATGTGCCCTAAGAGTAGCCAAATAGGTAGACCCAAAGGAGAGGGGATGGATAGCAATAAAAGTAAGTATAGATGAGTTAGTTTGGGCTTTTTAAAAAAAAAGTCAATCCAATCACGACCAGGCAAGCTGACTTCCAATATAATGACAAAGGAGGTTAGAGCACAGGTAGGAAATTCTTCTTTCTATTGCCACCACACATCAAAGACCCAAGGATCTTCATTCAAGTACACAAACATGTGATTCGGCTGACAAGTCCTAGAGTGCCTTCACGTGTGATCCAGGTGCATCCAGATCTGCTGCTTACTTCCACTGCTTCCAAGATTGCATTTTAAAGCTTATAAATATGCTATTAACAATTTATTAGATTTTCTTTATAACATGTATCCTTTCCATTAACTATCATATTTTTCCCCTGTAGATACTTGCATAGTTCTTTCAAAAAAAAAACCCAACAAGTAAATCATTTGAAGTTTGATATTTATACAGCTGGATTCCCTTCATATAAAAAGGAAGCAATATATAACACAATACAGAAATGTTAAGTGTATGTTTAATAAGTTTGAGAATGCAAATACATGATGTGTCTTGCATGCCTGTTAAATTTACACTTCTCTCCTTTACAAAAACTGTTAGGGCTCTCCTTTCACACTTAAATGAACTAATAAAGATATACTGCATTTGCTTGTAAATGCCCCTGGAATATCATTTTATAAAAAGATACTGATGCGAGTCAGGTCCAATAGTTTAATGGCTAAATCCTTGCCTTGAATGCACTGGAATCTCATGTGGGAACCAGTTCTGCTTCCCATCCAGCTCCCTACTAATGACCTGGGAAAACAGTTGAGGATGACCCAAAGCCTTGGGACCCTGCAATCATGTGGACAACCCAGAAGAAGCTCCTGGCTCCTAGCTTCAGATCAGCTCAGCTCTGGCCGTCACAGCTACTTAGAAAGCGAACCATCAGACGGAAGCATCTCTGTAAATCTGCCTTCCCAGTAAAAAAAAAAAAAAAAAAAAAGGTACTAATGATCAAAAGGAAAAGGATTAAATGCTGTTTCACCGGCCCCTGTGCCTCATGACTATGCAGCAGCCACAGCGGGAAGGTGGGAGTCAAGAGCAGAGCCCACATTGCGCCCTCCCATTGGCTTCAATGACTGCAAGATACCACTTGGTTAACAGTTAACAAAGCCTGTCCTCATTGAGAGAGACAGACAGTGTGTGGGGGAGTCTGTGTGTGTAGGGTGTGTATATGTGCTAATTAGTTCTTACAACAATTTTCAAAACAAATAGATCAGATAAAAATTTCTAGTTCATATGAGAAAACTGCCCCATAATTTCCTTAATGTATCCAAAAAAACACTCAATCGCTCACCTTCTTTGAAAGGGAAAACAAAAAAATTAAGGAGAAAAATATCCAGAAAAGGACAGTTATTACTGTTTGGAACAATTTCAATTACAAATAATATCAGGAAAATGTGTATGGGTAAAATTACCTTCCCATTTATCATCTTCAGAAACATTCCTCAGATCTAAATGTGGAATCTGGACACAGTCTGCTTCCTCCTCAAAAGCAACACTTTTACTTCCACATACTTCTGAAGCAGTATTGGCATTCAAATCACATATTGTGCTGCTGGAATCCTGGATTTTAAAACAACGAACATATTTCACAGCCATCAAGCTTTTCACACCAGGTTAATGACAATCAGCAACTAGACAACCAGACAATCTTCACTGATTTACCGTGCTATCCAGAGAACTACTCCAAACCCACCACCTTAAAGCTGTGGTTTTATAGCACGTGTTACTGGGAGACAAATTTCAGATTTTAAATTAAAAAATGTGTATTCCTAAGCAAACTCTTGTAACTTAAAGTGAAACTGTTGCTTAACTACCAACATTTGAGGCTGGTGCTGTGGTACAAATTAAGCTGGTGCTTGTGACATCAGCATCTCACAGGGAACCAACTGTTAGGTTACATCGCAGCTACTCTATTTTTGATCCCTGTTAAACACAGCTAGGAAAACAGTCACCCAAGAGTTTGGGGCCCTGCTGCCCACATCAGAGACCCAGACAGAGCTGCACACATCAGGTCCATTTGTGAAGTGGGTCACTGACTTAAGATTTCTTTGTCTCTCCTTCTCTGTCACTATGACTTTAAATAAACAAACGTCCTTGAAACTTACCTACCCAAGAGCTACAGGGCAGGAATAATAACTGATTAAACCCAGGCAATTCTGAGAATTATAAGATATTATAGTTCTTACCAGAATCAAGTGTGACAATTTATCACTGTCAAATAACAAATATTCTTTCCTAAAAATATAAAGTTATCAGTATATTAATAAAAAGGTTACTACCATTACACATCTTCTACTTAGATTCCTCTCTTCCCCAAAATAATTAGTATTCACAATGTGAGAGAACACACATACAAGCCAATTCTTTGGAGCCCTATATCTGAAAATCACACAATACTGAAAAAATCCACAGGAACCATTTCAGAGTCAGAAGTTAATTAATGTCCCCTATCACCTTCAACCCTATAAAATACAACATAAAAAAAACCCTTTGTTCAAAAAAACTGTCCACAAAAAGAATAAATTTACTCCATTCTGAGAGATTGCTCTAAAAAAACTTTTACAGATAGGTAACTATGTCATTTACTTTAAAGCTATGTTCTATCACAAGACAGTCAAAGGTAACTATTTCTACACTGTTCTCTCCCCAAAATAAGCTTAACAGATTACAAACAAAAAAATTTTTAAATCCTGTTCATATATTAATCCCTCAGAAAAAAACAACTTGTATGTAAGAACAAGTGTTACAGCAAGCTGTCACAGACCATCTCTGCCTATGTTATCAATCCACATAGCTTCTGCTATTTCAGAGTAAGTTATCAATATGCCTACTGTGGGAATGTTGGTTTCTCCAAAGACACTGGCAATTTACAGTGCCACACACAAGTGACTCAAACAGATGCTGCCAACTAATTGACCATAACAGACAATATGCTCAGGAGATAGGCCTTTACAAAATACAGCAAGTTGGGCCTGTAGCAATAGTGTAGTGATTAAAGTCCTCGCCTTGAACGTGCCAGAATCTCATACGGGCGCCAGTTCTAGCCCCGGCAGCTCCACTTCCCATCCAGCTCCCTGCTTGTGGCCTGGGAAAGCAGTCGAGGATGGCCCAAGGCCTTGGGACCCTGGACCCTGCACCCGCATCAGAGACACGGAAGAGCTCCTGGATCCTGGCTTCGGATTGGCTCAGCTCCAGCCATTGTGGTCACTTGGGGAGTGAATCAATGGATAGAAGATTTTCCTCTCTGTCTTTCCTCCTCTCTGTATATCAGCCTTTCAATAAAAATAAATAAATCTTTTAAAAAAATACAGCAAGTCAACTTTTCAGGTAATTAACCTAATATTGCTCGGTATGAAAACTGAACTGAATTCCCCTACAAGCTCAAAGGCCTTCCTTTTCTTAGAATGGGAACAAATAATAGGATAAATAAGTTTTACCCTAGCCAACTAAAAGCATTAATGATCCAAATTTCAGAAACATGAGCTTTTAAACATGTAAAATGTAATCCACTTAACCAAGGTACTCTTGGGATCTGAAAGCAAGTTTGCTAACCTATATACAAGTTGAAGAGGAAAGAATGTTTGCCAAAAAGACTGAATCCTCACTAAATGGATCCTTATTGTTCTACCAAATCTCGATGTCATCATTCTGGGGATGCCTGTTAATGCTGTTAATCTTACATCTTCAGCCCATAGCTCCAATGCTCCCTGGGCTGGAAGAGGATCATGCCTGCCTCCTGAAAGGAAGCACAAGGAACTGCTGTAAGCAGAGAATCTGTGGACCTTCAGAGTACAGGGACATTCCAGAGACACGGCTCCAAAGAACTTAGGAACCCTCAGAGAACAGATTCCAACACATAATTAAAAGTGACAGTTACATTACTATAGTTTTACAACCTGGCCAAAATCTTCAATTTAGCCTGCACCATTACTAATGTTTCCAGAATATCAAATCACAATGTTTAAGGAAGTTTTAATGTATTTCTTGAAAGCATTTGAAAGAATGAGGCAAAGGGGATCCAGCATGGTATCTTGGTGCCTAAAGTCCTCGCTTTGCATGCCAGGGATACCACATGGGCACCAGTTCATATTCCAGCCACTCCATTTGCTTTCCAGGTCCCTGCTTCTGGCCTAGGAAAGTAGTCAAGCACGGCCCAAAACCTTGGGACCATGCACCCACACGGGAGACCTGGAGGAAGCTCCTGGCTCCTGGCTTTGGATCAGTGCAGCTTTGGCCATTGAAGCCACTTAGGGAGTGAACCAGTGAAGGGAGGATCTTTGTCTCTCCTTCTCTCTGTAGTGCTGACTTTCCAATAAAAAACAAATAAATCATTTTTAAAAAGGAAGAGAATGAGGCAAAGGGCAAAACTGCCAAATTCTACCCAGTAACTTAGAATGCTCTAGAAGGCTTCTACTCCAACGGACTCTAACAAGACTCTACTTTTACTCTACTTTTTGTGGCCAGTGCTGTGACACAGTAGGTAAATCTGCTGCCTATTGGGCTTGTATCCCCAGTATGGGACCAATTCCAGTTCCAGATAATCCACTGCTGAACCACCTCTCAGGTAAGGTGTCCCAAGTGCTTGGACCCCTGCACCTATGATGGAAACCGAGATGAAACTTCTGGATCCTAGCATAGGAGGGGCCCAGTCCCCACTGCTGTGGCAATCTGAGGACTGAACCAGTGGATGAAAGACTTCCCTCTTCCTCTGCTTTGTCTTTTCTGTAATTCTTTCAAATAAATAATAAATAAATAATTTTAAAAAGATACACTTGGCTTCACTGCCTCATGTATCTCCATCTCATTACAACTGGCCAAGGAGGTAAACAAACACCACTATTTAAGATGTAGTGGGATACCCTGAGATGAGTAAAATGAGGAAGAGAAGCATCCATCCTATGCCTAAGCAAATACATTACTTACCCAGACATGTTTTCCAGGCAGCTAATTAGTTCACTGATTGGTATACTCATCAATAAATTCTCAACTATTCTACAATTAACAAAAAGTGCTAGCTATTTTGAAGAATGTTGTGTTTTTCCCTTGCAATATGTTTTCAAGTGATAATACCTGTTTAAAATCGCACAACTCTGATTATATATATTTAACATACTTATTGTCTTCCATTAGAACAAAAAGCTTAAAAAATTTATCAAAATTTTTATTCCAAAGTCTATAAAGAACTTCAATTCTCAAAATTACTACTCAGTAACAATAGAAATGCTCACCTCTCAAGACAGCCATCTTCACCCTCACCATGGCCACCGCATGGCTCTAACAGTATACCTAGAGACTGACAGGAAACACATAACCTTTCCATTAATGAAACTGTCAACTCAGGAAGGGATCTGCTAATCCAAATTAGGATATTAGATTATACCTTAGCTAAACACCCCCCTCCTTAGCTACCATTCACAACAGTTCATAGAAATTCATGTTTATAACATGTATTTAGCAGGTCATGGCAAAGATCCTCTATTTCTTTCTATTCTATCAAATAATAGCTACCACCATAACTTTCCATATCTCTTTGAATTTTTTCTTCTAAAAAAGGGTCTTCTCAAGCCCAGAATTATGACCCTACTGGTAAATTGTGCCAGGATCCCAAATAGGTGCTGGTTCGTGTCCCAGCTGCTCTATTTTCCATGCAACTCCTGGCCTATGGCCTTGGAAAGCAGTACAGAGTGACCCAAAGCCTGGGACCTAGCACCCGTGCGGGAGACCCAGAAGAAATTCTTGGGTCCTTGTCTTGACTTCAGATCAGCTCAGCTCTGGCCACTATGACCATCTGGGAAGTAACCAGCAGAGGGGAACATCTTTCTGTCTCCCCTTCTCTCTATAAGTCTGATATACCTTTCTAAATAAATAAATAAATATTGGAGAAAGAAAAAAAGGTCTTCTCAACTGATCCTGCTGGTCAACTGCTTCCTGCTCTGTTTCTCTTTAATCATAAATATACAAATTGATAATCTATCAACAGAAAAGAGAAGAACCTGGAGGAATTAATCATAGACCAAGCCAAATGTAGGAGGCACATACCAAAATAATCACCAAAGGGGACTGAGAAAGCATTTAGCTAGTCTAGAAACAATCAGAAAGGTGAGAGATCCTAAAAGCCACCAAGAAAGTTTATCAAGGACTTGGGAATTATATAACTCCACTAACATTTGCTATTAGTATCAGGACATTTTACACAGACATCACCAGTCTTGTGTCAGCATGGTTTCAGAGAGAAAGTAGGAGTAATGAGATAGTTGTAATGAACTTGAAAGTGGAGATATACATTTAGCAAATTGGCACACATCAGCAACTTACACTGGAGCAACCAGGTTTAAGTAACAACTGTGTTTCAAAACCAGCTTCCTACTAACATGCACCTTTAGCAGGCAGCTGATGATGGCTCAAATAGATCAATTCCTGTCACACAAATGGAAGACCTTGACCAAGCGCTCCCAGGTTTTGGCTTCAGCCTTTTTCAGCCCCATCTGTTGTGGGTATTTGGAGACTAAACCAAAGGACAGGAGCTGTTTCCCTCTCCTCTTTTCCCTGTCTTTCAAAAACACAATTATTTTAAGATTTATTTCTTCCCACTGGAAAGGCAGATTTACAGAGAGGAGCAGAGACAAAGAAAAAGATCTTCCATCTGCTGGCTCACTCCCCAAGATGCTACAATGGCTGGAGCTGAGCTGATCTGAACCGAGGAACCATGAGCAAAGAGCCCTTCTGGGTCTTCAACATGGAGTCAGTACAGCTTTGTAAGCCCCTGGGCTATATTCTACTGCTTTCTCGGGTGTCAAGCAAGGAGCTTCATGGGAAGCGGAGCATCCAGGACATGAACCACCACCAACATGGGAATCTGGCAATGCAAGGTGAGGATCTACCCACTGAGCCATCACGTCGAACCCCCAAATTTTTATTTTTAAAAACTATGTATGATTGGAGAGCCTGGTGTGGAAGCCTAGTGGCTATAAGTTCTCGCCTTCCATATGCCGGGGTCCTGGTTTGTATTCCGGTTGCTCCACTTCCTTTCCAGGTTCCTGCTTGTGGCCTGGGAAAGCAGTAGAGGACAGTACAAAGCCTTGGGACCCTGCATCCATGTGCAGACCAGGAAGAAACCAGGAAAAAACTTTACTTATTTTTATTGGAAAGGCAGATATATAGAGAGGAGGAGAGAAAAGAGAAGAAGCTCTTGGGCCCCAGCGCACTGGCCTAATGGTTAAAGTCCTTGCCTTGAACATGTGCCAGAATCCCATATGGGTGCTAGTTCTAATCCCGGCAGCTCCACTTCCCATCCAGCTCCTCGAGTGGCTGCAACGGCTGGAGCTGCATTGATCCAAACCCAGGAGCCAGAAGCCAGGACTGTCTTCCAGGTCTCCCATACAGATGCTAGGTTCCAAAGCTTTGGGCCCATCCTCGACTGCTTTCCCAGGGCACAAGCAGGGAGCTAGATAGGAAGCAGGGCCGCTAGCATTAGAACCGGCACCCACAGGGATCCTGTCATGTGCAAGGATCCACTAAGATATCTTAGCCACTAAGATATCGTGCTGGGCCCTAAAGTAACTTTTAGATTTACTCACTTTCCCCTGAGCATCTCTCATATGTACATGAGGTATACACATCACAAAATTTCTGTTTTCATCTTGTTAATATGTCTTGTTATAGATCCAACCCAGCAATGAAAGGTAGATAAAACTATTCTAATTCATATTTTTCGGAAGCTCACTGGGAAGTACTAACAGGCTTATAAAAATAGTCAATTTCAACCTAACCACCTCTAGTAATACCATAATTTGCTTTCATCTAGGAAAATATTTGTAAAGTGTTTTATACTAACTGCTCTACTCAACAACCCTCTCAAACACTACTATAAGAAATGTATATTCTTAGGCCCAGGGCAGTAGCCTATCAGCTGAAGTTCTGCTAAAGTCAAGCATGCACCAGAATTCCATACGGGTACTGGTTCATGTCCTATCTGCTCTACTTCCCTTCCAGCCCCCTGCTTGTAGCCTGGAAAAGCAGTCAAGGACGGCCCAATGCTTTGGGATCTAGCACCCATGTGGGAGACCTGGAGGAGGTTCCTGGCTCCCGGCTTCGGATTGGCACAGCACCGGCCGCTGCGCTCACTTGGGGAGTGAATCATCGGACAAAGATCTTCCTCTCTATCTCTCCAGCGCTCTGTATATCTGACTTGTAATGAAAATAAATAAATCTTTAAAAAAAACAGTGTATTTTCTTAGAAATTTATAATAAAGAAATTATGTCAGCAGAGGTAATGAACTACAACTTCTAGTATCAGAGAAACACATAAAGCAATCAAAGTTGCATATTTAGCAAATCTTAAAAGACATTTTTTCTCTTTTCTTACCTGGTTATTTTCTTCATCCTCAAATACACAATCTTGCTGCATAACTTCATGGTCTAGCTTAGTGCCGGCCATGGATTTCGAACAGTCTCTGTCACCTTTACTGGCATTAATAATATCGACAGCAATACCAACTCTGGTAATAAAGGGGAAAATGAAATCATATGAAGCCAACTGCTGAATATTTAGTGCCTTTAAAATGGATGTATTTTTTTGTAGTGATTTTTACTTGCTAAAGAAAACACATCCTTTTCATAAAATCCAGCTTTTGGGGGCCGGCTTTCCAATATGGGGGCTGGTTCAAGTCTGCTCCAATTCCAATCCAGTTCCCTCTTAATGTTCCTGAGAGGATGGCCCATGTGTGCAGATCCCTGATACCACTGTGTGAAGCCCAGATAAAGTTTCTGGCTCCTGGCTTTAGCTGGCAATAGCCATGCCCATTACACTATATGGGAAATGAGCCAGCAGAATGCAAGATCTTATTCTTCCTCTATCATTCTTTCAAATTATAAGCTAGGTGCTGCAGTTGAGGCACAGCACATTAAACCCCTGCCTGCGATGCCACCATCCCATATGCGTGGGAGTTTGAGTGCATGCTGCTCCAGTTCCAATCCAGCTCCCTGCTAACACACCTAAAAAAGCAGTGGAGGAAAGCCCAAGTGCTAGGCCCCCACACCCACATGGAAGAAACAGAAGCTGCACAACTCCAGTTTTGGTGTGGTCCAATCGTGACCATTGTGACTGGGAAATGAACCACTATAGATGGAAGACTGTTTAAGAGACTCCTCCTCTTTCTGTAACTCTATCTTTCAAATGGCAAGGGGGTGTGGGGGGGAATCTTGGCCCTGGCACAACAGCCTGCTAACTAAATCCTCACCTTGCATGTGCCAGAATCTTATATGAGATGAGTGCTGGTTCATATCCCAACTGCTCCACTTCCTATCCAGCTCCATGTCTGTGACCTGCGAAAGCAGTTGAGAATGCCCAAGGCATTGGGACCCTGCAGCTGTGTGGGAGACCCCTAGGGTGTTTGGATAGGCTCAGCTTCACCCTCCCCCAATTGTGACCACTTGGGGAATGTATCAGTGGAAAAAATACTGTTCTTTCTGTATCTCCTTCTCTCTGTAAATTTGCCTTTCCAATAGAAATAAATCTTTAAAAATACACATTTTTTTTTAAATAAACATAAAATCTGTCATATGAAATCACTTCATTGTCTTTTAGGAAGACCCACTCACATGATACACAGCAGAGGTGAGGTATGAAGAAAGTAAGTGAGGCCTTCCTTTGCTTAAACAGGTCCCAGGCAGAACAGAGTAACATCATGTATGACAAGTGTTGTAACTTCAGTAACTACTAAAAGCTGATCTAACAAAACCAAGTAGAAAGGGGAGAAGCGAGTGGCAGAGGATAACAACTTATTAATAAATATTTATTCATTTGCTTATTATTTACTTCAAAGGCAGAGCTACAAAACAAGAGGGAAAAATCTACCCACTTCCCAAATGGCTGTAACACCTAGGGCTATGCCTGACAGAAATCAGTGGACTAGAGCTTCTTTTGGGTCTCCCACTTGGTTTTATGGGCCCACACACTTGGTATATATCTTTTGATGTTTTCCTAGGTGCACCAGCAAGGACCTGGATTTTAAGTGGAGTGGGGCCTAGCACGGTAGCGTGGTGGCTAAAGTCCTCACCTTACACACGCTGGGATCCCATATGGATGCCAGTTTGTGTCCTAGCTGCTTCAGTTCCCACCTAGCTCCCTGCCTGTGGTCTAAGAAAGCAGTTGAGCATGGCCCAAAGCCTTGGGACCCTATCTATCCCTGTGTGGCTTCTGGCTCCTGGCTTTGAATCAGCTCAGACCCGGCCATTGTAGCTACTTGGGTGTGAAGCAGCAGATGGAAGATCCTTCTCGCTATCGTTCTCTGTGAATCTGACTTTCCTATGTGTATTTTTCATATAGATATATTGATATGAATGAATGGATGAAGTGGAGCACCAGGACTAAAAATAGCGCCTATGTGGGATGCCAGCACTGTTGGTGACAGCCTAGTCCATTACATCACAATGTTGCCCCAAGAAACCAACTAAACAGCAAAGGATGACTGCCCACAAATTGCCTCAATGACATCCACTAGAGTATGTTAAATAAATTAAATTAAATACCATTTATACATAAGTATATACAAAATCACTTTTCACACTGAGTTTCAGAAATACCAAGTAGGGCAAACTTCAACAGTCAAGTAAATGTAAAATTTCAAAATAATACAGCTATAATTATTAAAAATAATAATAAGATGTGTCTTACTGGTTATTAGATCCTTTCCCATCAAAATTAATATTTTCTGCTTCATTATTACATATCAAATTCTGCTGCTGTAAATTCTTAAAATCATGATCTATGCTGCTCTGCAGATCAAAAAGGTGCTGTTCCACAGCCGCTCTAATTGTTCTTTCTAAAATGCTATAAAACAAAACATAATTTAGTGAGAAGAAATTATCCTAACTGGAAAACATACAAACATAAAACCCATTATCTATCATAACAAATTACTACAGTATTTAAATGGTGAAAACAAAAAGGAAAACACGTAAATACACGAAACATATACATAACACTGCTTACATTTACATGTAAAATTTGCCCAAGGCGGTAACCTGATCAGGATTAGTAGCAATATCATCACTAACATAACTGTGATGAGAAGGATGCTGCTTCCAAACCAATCCCTACACTACCAAGAAAACCATTTCAATATGTAAACTTCTCAGGCCCAGCGGCGCAGTGGCGCAATGGTTAAGGTACTTGCCTTGCACGCCCGGGATCCCATATGGGTGCCGGTTCTAATCCCGGCAGCTCCACTTCCCATCCAGCTCCCTGCGTGTGGCCTGGGAAAGCAGTCGAGGATGGCCCAAAGCTTTGAGACCCTGCATCCATGTGGGAGACCCAGAAGAGGCTCCTGGATCCTGGCTTCGGATTGGCATAGCATCAGCCGTTGCGCTCACTTGGGGAGTGAATCATCGGACAGAAGATCTTCCTCTCTGTCTCTCCTCTCTGTATATCTGACTTTCCAATAAATAATAAATAAAATAAGTCTTTAAAAAAAAATAAACAAAGCTAATAGTCCACATGCAACACTGGCATCTCCAAGTACCATCCAGGCACAGATCTAAGTCCTAACTGCTCCTACTTTGATCCCATCTTCCTGTCTAAGGCCTGGGAAAGAAGCAAAGGATGGGCCAAGTCGTTGGGTCCCTCAACCCACATGAAGACCTGGAAGAAGCTACTGACTCCCAGTTTCAGCTAAGATCAGCTCTAACATTACAGTCATTTGGGGAATGAACCAGGTAATGGACAATCTCTCTCTCTGCTTCTCTTTGTAAAATCTGCCTCTCAAAAAATAAATAAGTAACAATTCTAAAAAAGTAATTTGTATTACTTCATACACAAATGTCAATCTTTTTATATACATTTACGATTTGTTTATGGCTTGAAGAAGTCTACATCCCAGCTACAGTCAAATCAACTGATGCATTACCTTGTTGATGCCTTAACACCATTTGATTCCAGAATGTTCTCAGTCATCCTTGACTGTCCCTCCTCCGGCACAGCATTCAGCTTTTCTGCGCTTTCTTCTGGAATTTCTTCTATATGTTCCAGCTTTTCATCTTCTTCATCTTCCTCAGAAAGTTCATTAATCTATATGAAAAAAGGAAATTGAAATGTAACATATATTGAAACTATAAATTAATATATTTAACACATAGTATTTTAAGAATTAAAACACTCATTCTGCTCCCTCAGACCAGTCTGTCTTACATAATTATGTCCAAATTTTTCATATAAACATAAAATTATAAACCATACAAACCACTTTGACATGGGAAGTAACAACTGTACTGGTACATAAATAAGCCTACAAACTATGAAAAAACTGACACAATGTAGTTAACATTAAGAAATCTTCATTTAGCTAACCAATTCATAAATCTAATAATTGTAAAAATCTTCTATTTGATCCCTCCAATTTTCATATGTATTAAACATGTCATATTTTAAGTAGGGGAAAAAACATTTTTAACCACTAAGTACAAGTGTCTAATGACTTCTACATTAAATGTTTTAAAATGTCTATTATTAAACAGATCACATCAAGAATTACTTAATGGGCCCAGTTCAGTAACCTAGTGGCTAAATAAAGTCCTCGTCTTGTACATGCCAGGATCGTATCCCAGCTGCTCCACTTTCCTTCCAGCTCCCTCCTGTGGCCTGGGAAAGCAGTCAAGGACAACCCAAAGCCTTGGGTCCCTGCACCCATGTGGAAGACCCGGAGGAAGCTCCTGGCTCCAGTCGTTGTGGCCACTTGGACAGTGAACCAGCAAGTGGAAGAACTTTCTCTCTTTCTCCTTCCCTATAAACTTGACTTTCAAAAATAAATAAATAAATCTTAAAAAAGAAAGACTCACTTAATAAAGACAATGCAATACTAGGAAAACCAGCAAAATAATTAAAATAATTTCAAATGAGAAATATTTTAGTATAATCTAAAAAAAAAAAAAACAAAAACAACTACCCATACATGGTCTTACTGTCCTACTAGTCATTGAGAAGACTGAGCAGGAGCTGATGTGGTGCACTGAGTTACATCCATGGGCACCAGGCAGGTGCTCCAGCCCGGGTACGCTACTTCTGATCCAAATCCCTCCTAACACACCTGTGAACACTGCTTTCCCAGAACATTAGCAGAGAACTGGACTTGAAATGAAACAGCCAGAATCAAACTAGTACCCACACAGGATACCAGTGTTGTTGATAGTGACTTAACAGGTCACTTCACAATGTCATTTTCTTTCAACTAAGTATCAGTTCTTTATTTTTTTTTCACATTGTTTCCTGCATGTATCTGAGGTAAAGGGGGATTTTAAGGGAGAAACCCTACCCAGTCCCTCACCCACCCCAGGTCCCTGATGTGCAGCATGCTCTGAGAGTCTTGCTCAAGCGGTTTTATAGTTCAACAGTTATGAAGTGCTACCAATCTGGCCATTCTAAGCACGATGAAGTCGCTGCAGAATCCACTGATTGACACAGTCCATCTTAGAGTCTCCGTTTGCCCAGTTTTTCACTGTCAACATATGGCTGAGGTGGTTGACTGACTTGTTCTGTCCTCTGTCTTTACATGGTTAGGGTTCTGAGTCTGGCAGTTTAGGGAGGTCCCCAAAGAGACTTTGTCTGAAGTGTTCCCAGACCAGATTCTTGTGTGCACTTGCAAGTACAGGGCCTGGCACACTCCATCACCCTAATCAGCTGGTGGTGGCAACTGCTGGGTCGGTTCTGTTTCTAACTAAGGAACTGCATGTGATCTCTAAAAAATGTATGAAAACTTTCCACATAGCACTAAGTTAGGTTATTAATGGTATCTATTTGATTTACTATGCACAGGAAGGCATGAATTCTTTAAAAGATGGAATTAGAGCCCAGTACTGCAGCATATAGAAGCTTAAGCCTCCACTGTGGTGCTGGCATACCATATAGACACCACCAGCTCAAGTGCCCAATGCTGCACTAGCAATCCCAGCTCCCTACTAATATGCTGGGGAACACAGTGGAGGATGGTCCTGTGACCTGTGACCATGTGGCAAACTAGGAAGACGACTCCGGGCTCCTGGCTTCAGATCAACCCAGCTCCAGCCTCTGTGGTCATTTAGGGAATGAACTAGCAGACCGAAGTATTCTCTTTAACTCTGTCTTTCAAAGAAATAAGTTTTTAAATGATGGAATTAACATATCTGTGGGTCCAAGGCAATGGTTCAGTGGCTAAATCCTAGCCTTGCATGTGCTGGGATCTCATATTGGCACCAGTTCACATTCCAGCTGCTCCACTTCCCATCCAGCTCCTTGCTTGTGGCCTGGGGAGGCAGTAGAGGATGGACCAAAGCCTTTGGACCCTGCACTCGCATGGGATATCCAGAAGTTCCTGGCTTCGGATCAGCTTAGCTCTGGCCATTGCAGCCACTTGGGGAGTGAACCAGCAGACAGGTCTTTCTTTCTGGACCTCTTTCTCTCTGTAAATCTGCCTTTCCAATAGGAATAAATAAATTTTAAAAGTAAATAAGTAAAACTGTACATTGGGGCTAATGCTGGGGTATGGCAAATTGAACCATACTAGAATTCCATTTGGTTACCAGTTAAGAGACCCAGCTTCGGGCCCAGCGCGGTGGCGCAATGGTTAAGGTCCTCGCCTTGCACGCCCGGGATCTCATATGGGCGCCGGTTCTAATCCCAGCAGCCCCACTTCCCATCCAGCTCCCTGCTTGTGGCCCGGGAAAGCAGTTGAAGACGGCCCAAAGCCTTGGGACCCTGCATCCATGTGGGAGACCCAGAAGAGGCTCCTGGATCCTGGCTTCGGATCGGCATAGCATCAGCCGTTGCACTCACTTGGGGAGTGAATCATCGGACGGAAGATCTTCCTCTCTGTCTCTCCTCTCTGTATATCCGCCTTTCCAATAAAAATAAAATTTAAAAAAAAAAGATCCAGCTTCTCCACTTTTGATCGATCTTCCTGCTTAAGAGTCTGGTAACCCAGCAGAAGATAGCACAGCGCTTGTTCCTACACCCACACGAAAGACCTCAAAGGGGCTCTAGACTCTCCAGCTTTAACTTGGCCCAGCCCCAGTCACTTGGGACTGTGAACCAACAGACAATTCTATTCCTTCTAAGTATATACCTTCCACATCAATATATTCTTTCTATAAAAGAAAATTATGAACTTCCAAAATTCATGCAAATCCAGGCTTTCCATGAAAATTTTAAAGCACCCTGATATATACACACAGACACACACACAATTTCAATCTGTTTATACAGTAAAAGTTGTATCGGTCATTTATCACTATTTCTTTAAAGTTCCTTATACCACAACTTCTGTCCTGATATACAGAAAAGTGAAAAGGGAGGGCTGTAGGAAAAGGAAAGAAAGCAGAGAAGAAAGAAGGAAAAAAAGAGAAACCAAAAAGGAAAATCAGACAAAGATAATGTTAAATGAGAAAAATGCAAAAAACTGGAGAAGGAATAAACCTCTTGAAATAAAAAGTATTAAAGGTTCATAAAAGCATAACAATTCTTTCAAGTAAAAGCTGAGTTTGGGGGCAGTGCCGTGACATCAGCTTCAGGCATTCCATATGGGCACCGGCTCAAGTTCTGGCTGCTCCACTATCCTTCCAGTTCCACGCTAATGTACCTGGGAGAGCAGCAGATATGCCAAGTACTTGGGTCCCTGCACCCAAGTACAGAAGCTTCAGCCATTACACTCATGTAAGGAGTCGAGTAGTTGGGACAGCTGTCCCTTTAGCTCCTCTCCTTCATTCTCTGTTTAACTCTGCCTTTCAAACAAATAAATGTATCTTTAAATTTGAAAAAAAAAAAAAAGAAAAAAGAATAAAGCTGAGTGAATCCATATAATCAAATACAGGATCCATCAGAACTAATAAAAATAATGAAAATATAATAATCTACTTTTCAAGACTATCTGCTTAATCACAACAAATAAAGAGCTGAAACCCAAATAGGCATTATCACTCGTAGTGTGACAATGTAATTCAGCAAATCTGGATGTAGGTGAGTGCAGTAAGCAGAGCAACTAAATATTCGATCAGAGCAGATATAAACGAAAACTGTTACATGAGAAACAGAATGTACTACAAACGCCTTTCCAACAGGGGACTGTCAGCACACATCAAATCAATTGTAAGGCCCTATCGGCATGCACTCTCTGTATTCTATTAAAAACTCCCAAATCCACCACTGATATAAAGCAAAGAACAGTATGATATACCACCTTTTCAGTTTTTCAGAAAAAGAAAATATTTATTTGTATTTTCATCTAAAAGCCATCAATAAACATTTCAGAAACAATGGAGAGGAAGGGTAGAGAAAAGTGATTATGTATATTTTACTAAATATTTCGCTTTATTTTTTCATAATTATTGAATTATGCGATTTTCAAAATGTATCAGCAGCTCCAAAATATCGTAGGTTTTAACCTCAAAAAGCTTGTAAGGAAAACCTCCAAAAAAGACCTAAATCACAAAGCCTGTACGTTAGGAGTCTGCTACAATGGGTTTAGAATGCACTGCCATTCCTCGAGATTCCCGTTTGATAAAGGAGTCATTCGGATCCCTGCACAGCCTCAACCACCAAGACACAGCAGCAACAACAGAAGTCCACAGCACTCCAAACATTCTCAAATCACCAGGATATTAAAACTATCTGCAACAACAACTTCCGCACACTAGCCTTGTAAACCCCAGATGCTTCCCATCAATGACAACAATTATACTATTACTTTGACAAGCTAATTTAGTTAAGAAAAACTTCAAATTTGTAAAAATTCATATTGTTTTCCTGTGCTTTGAATTTCTCACCCTTTGCCCTCAGTGCCCAGCTCTATCATTTTATACAAACCAAAATCACACTATACATGTAAAACAATGCCTAGAAAAGTACAAGAAATCAAAAACTCTTTACTGTAAAAGTAGTTTCATCTCTTTCCCTTATTACCCATTTAAAAACAGGAAGCAAAAAAGAAGAAAAACCTTCATCCATATACTATTTGCATGTGTCACCAAACAGAACTGCTGCCACTTTGCCAGTTCAGTACTTATATTCCACATTAGGTTTGTGCCAAGCCTTTAAGAGATTATTCCTTAAAAATAAAATAGTCTCTCCAAACAGGATATAAAAAAATTCTCACCTGTTCTGTGATAGAACTCAAATCATTTGAAGAAAAATCTTCCTCTTCATTCTCAAAAAACTCATAGTAATTTTCCAGAAGTCCAGCCATTATTCTGCTCACTATTTCTTGCTCTTTCATATCTTCCACATCTGTGTAAATGCTAAGAATAAAAGCCCAAACTGAACTAAGAGTTCTTCAATAAATCACAGGTAGTTAGAAAGCAACCAGAATGAATCTGAGAAACTTATGTCACTATCACACTGCGGCCCAGTTTATTATCTAGATGGCCTACCTAACTTGTACCGCTTTTCACTGAAATGCCGAGAGGACTACTAGTATCTACTATTTAAAAAATGGTTTATTGGGCCCGGCGCGATGGCACAGTGGTTAAGGTCCTCGCCTTGCACGCCCGGGATCCCATATGGGTGCCGGTTCCAATCCCAGCGGCCCTGCTCCACTTCCCATCCAGCTCCCGGGAGAGCAGTCGAGGATGGCCCAAAGCTTTGGGACCCTGCATCCGCGTGGGAGACCCAGAAGAGGCTCCTGGCTTCGGATCGGCATAGTATATCGGCCGTTGCGGCTCACTTGGGGAGTGAATCATCGGACGGAAGATCTTCCTCTCTGTATCTCCTCTCTGTATATCTGCCTTTCCAATAAAAAATAATAAAAATAAATCTTTAAAAAAAAAAAGGTTTATCAAGTAATCCATGATTCTAGGAAGACAAAATAATGATTCTATTTCATACAATTTTTAAAATAAAACAAAAATTGTCAAACAACTCACTGGAAGACATCTGGACCAAAGACAGCAGCCAAAGAATTTGCAGACCAAATTTCTTCATGATGTGATGCTACATTGGCTAAAAATCTACACAGAAACTTTAACAAACTATAATTAACAGGTGGCAGCTGTTGCAAGAGGAACTTCAATTTTCTTCCAAATTCATCTTCGTTATTATAATCTATAAAATATAATGACAGGTCTTTTAATTAAGTAAAAAAAAAAAGCTCAGATACTTTGCCAAGTTCACATCTCTCCACCCACACCACCTTTCTACTGTAACAATTCAAAGCCTCTTTACTTCCTCTAACCAGAGGCCAAATGCCTTAGAGCTTTGCATTTCACTTATTAAATGGGAGTAGAGTTGGAAATGAGGAAAACAGGAACTAAAATCCTCAATTGCTGAACGATGCTTTCCTCATCTATTACTGCCTCCAAATTTCTTTGTACTCTCTTGCATGACTGTACCTGTATTTTCAAACTACTGCAAACCATCAGAAACAAAACACACTGGCCCTGAGAGGCGACATGTACTAACAATGAAAGCAAATTTAACCAGCTGTCATAAATATCACTGATTATTTTCACACTTGAATGCACTGGGAAAATAGAAAGGAAAAAGTGAGAGAGTGATTTTATTCTTCCCCTCACATCACGCAAAGGCCACATCAGCAACACACAGTCTCACGCTTCTCCTTTAAATTGATGGTTTTTTATTATCAGCTGGAGTTCATGACACAAGCTGGGGATGGTATTTATCTTGTCAATGAGTTTTCATGAACATGGACTAGGCTGTTAGCAATCCTGTTGCTTAAAGAGGGCTCCATTTAAAACATGTAATTTATCAGAGACACTCTCAAAATGGAAATTTCTGCTCTAATACAGAAAATCAACTTTATTCATTTCGTATTTTTCTGCAGGTCCTTACAATTCATTTACAGAAAAATTCTTGCCGTAAGGTCATGTTCATGATGTTAGCCAACTCTATAAAATAACAAGCATCTAAAATCTATCAGGAAAGGTTTCAGTCCCATGGGTTTTACTTATGGTTTAACATGCAACCAATAACAATCACTCTATATTTTCTATTTTTATCAATCCACTCAAATGCACCAGCACCCTGACTTCACAAATGGACGGAAACAGTTTTGGATTAATATTATTAAAATCACTGTTCCTATAACTGGTGAAAATTTTTAACAATCTATTAAATACAACATAAAATAATTTTTTATTTTTAATAAAATTAAGGGCAGGTACAGTAGACCAGCCTTGCAACACCAACATGCTATATCTCAGAATGTTGGCTGGAGTTCTGGTAACTCCACTTTAATTCAGCTTTATACTAACACATCTGGGAAAGCAGTCAAGGATAACTCAAACGTTTGGACTTGTTTCACTCACATGGGAATCATGAGATGGAGTTCTAGGATCCTGGATCCTGCCTGGCCAATATGACCAAACCCCAGACATTGTGGCCATCTGGGAAGTGAACCAATGAATCAAAGATCCCTATCTCCAAACTTCCTCCTCCCCATTTCTCAGCCTCTCCCTCTCTTGCTCTTTCAAATAAACACATCCTTTTTTTTTTAATTATTCATTTTTATTGGAAAGTCAGATTTTTTTTTAATTGAAAAGTCAGAGGAGGACTTTAGCCACTAGGCTACGGTGCCAGGCCCTAAAGACTTGGTTTAAAAAATAAAGCAGAGGAGAGGACACAGCCCAGTGACTAAAGCTCTCAGCTTGCACATGCCAGGATCCCATAGGGGAGCCAGTTCTTATCCTGGCTGCTCCACTTTCCATCCAGCTCTCAGCTTGTGGCATGGGAAGGAAGTAGAGTATGGCCCAAAGCCTTGAGACCCTGTACCCATGTGGGAGACCCAGAAGTAGTTCCTGCTCCTGGGTTCAGATCAGCTCAGTTCCAGCCGCTGAGGCCGCATAGGGAGTGAACCAACAGATGCAAGATCTTCCTCTTTGTCTCTCCTCTCTGTATATCTGACTTTCCAATAAAAATAAACAAACCTTTTTTAAAAATTGAAAAAATAAAGCAGGGCCAGCACTGTAACAAGAGCAGATTAAACTACTTCCTGGGACACCAGTATCCCATATCAGAGGATCACTTTAAGTCCCAGCTACTCTCCTTCCGATCCAGCTCCCTGGGATAAAAGCAAAGATGATCGAGTCCTGCCACCCATGTGGGAAACTCAGATGCAATCTCGGTTCCTAGCTTCGCCTGATCTAAGCCAGGACTGTGTTATCTGTGGACTAAACCACCAAAAGGAAGACATCTCTTTCTTTTATACTGCCCGTTCTTTCTAATAAATTGATTTCAAAACAGTAAAATCATGTGTAATCAACTAAAAACTGCAAACAATCAATACTGTCGATGACTATAGAAACACTGACAAATTCTCCCAAACATGTTCTCCAAATCTGTATACAGCACCCATCATTATCTAAGCTGCCAATATTCTCTTATCATCTATTTTTTTCTATCTCCCCAATCCTCTTGAGAATTTCACCTCTTAGAGGACACATATTTTTATGCAGCTTTGTTCCCAGCAACTAGAACAGTAACAAATACATACCAAACACTAAATAAACATTAGTTGCATTGGCAAAACCCTGTAAAAGTATTTACTTAAATAAGTGGAGAGGAATCTGTCCACCTGTATAAATTTTCATACAAGAATAAAAACTGGATGGACCCTGCACCCATGTGGGAGACCCAGAAGCTCTTGGCTTCTGATCAACTCAGCTCCAGCCAGCTGTTGCAGCCACTTGGGAGTAAACCAACAGATGGAAGATCTTTCTGTCTCTCCATCTCCCTATAAATCTGACTTACCAATACAAAATAAAACTTTTAAAAAAAACAAGACCAATTGCAAATATTTAGTAATATTCAAAGGGATCCACGTACTTGCCATTCACTCAACTCTACAGTCCCTATACTGAGTATGCAGCAGTAGGCTAAGCTGCTGCCTGCAATGCTAAACCCCACACTGGAGAGGTAGTTCAGGTTCCAGCTGCTCTACTTCTGATTCAATTCCCTGATAATGCACCTGGGTTGGCAGCAGAAGATGGTCCAAGAACATGAACCTCTGCTACCCTTGTTGGGAGATTCAAATGGAGTTCCTATCTCCTGGCTTCAGCCTAGACCGTATCAGCCATTTGGGGAGTGAATCAATGATGGAAGATCTTCTCTGTCAAATAAAATAAATCTTAAACATATTTAAACACACACAAACTGTCCAAAAAGCAACTGTGAAAATAGTAAAACAGTACTTTCTCTGAAACTGATTAAGAGCAGGGTAATGGAGCCAGCACTGTGGTATAGTGCAGTAAGCCACAGCCCGCAGCACCAGCATCCCACATGGTTGCTGGTTAAAATACCCTGCTCCACTTCCAATGCATCTCCCTGACCATACACCCGGGACAACAGCAGATTACAGCCCAAGTACTTGGGCCCCAACATTCATATGGGAAAAACAGATGAGACAACTGGCGTGTCTTTAACCTGGAACAGACCAGGCCATTGTGGCCATTTGGGAAATGAACCAGGGGTTAGAAATTAGATCTCTCTCTGCCCTTCCCCTCTGTAATTCTGCATTTCCAATAAATAAATAAATCCTTAAAAAAAAGTAGAGTTAACACATGAAGCATGCTGAGCCTATGACTCAAAGAATGAATCAAAACCTTCCTAAGTCAGTGCTGTGGCACTGGCAGCCCACATAGGACAGCTGGTTTACATCCTGGTTGCTCCATCTCCAGTGCAGCTTCCTGGTAAGGTACCTAGGAAGGCAAAAATTGCTGGCCAAGTTTTGGGGCCCCTGCCACTCCAGTGGGAGACCTTAATGGAGTTACTGGCTCCTGGTTTAATGCCTGGTCCAGATCTAGTTGCTGTGCCAACATGGGAAATGAACCATCACATAGAGGATATTTTCTCTCTTTATCTCTCATTCCCTATCTCTCCTTCTCTGTCACTCCTGCTCAAATAAATAAGTAAATCTATTTTTAAATTTAAAGACTTACTAAAAGTACTTTGAAATTATTAATAAATGACTAATAAAAATCAAATCATATTACCTTGAGAAAGCTGCATCAAGTGAATATGCAAACTGCCAGGGATAACAGGTTCAGGAAGTTCTTGAAGGAAAAACCTAAGAAGACTAATAGCTGAGGGAACATCTGCTTCCTTAACCAAATCCACCTCTTCTCCACTGTCATATCTCTGCCGAAGCCACTCCACTGTCTCAGCATTTCCATTGACTTGAAAAAGTCCTTGTTGATCCAGACCTCCTACATTAGTTCAAGGCAAAAATTAAATAAGCTGCAACTTCAACTATTTTACCACATTCATTCTCCAATCAACTTAAAATATTTATTCTTTTGGAAAGCCTTTCTTGGCTCCCCGATTTGACTAAAAACCTTCAAATTACATGCCTAGAAACATACTATCTTCTATTCTCAGGGAGAGTTTATTTTATCCCACCCCTTATTAAAAACACTCCTATCACCCCTGCCAAAAAGTGTTCTAGGCTAGGCAACCATCATCATGTTTATAAGTGTAAGAATTTAAGTAAAAAACACATTTCAATGCTAAAAAGAAATCCTATATTGTTTTTCCTATGTTTTGAACTGTCCAAACTAAAAAGAAAAAATTTAAAAATCCAAGGTCAAAAAGGGATAAGCTAGCCCTCAAAGTAAGGAAACGTATACCATGTTCCTCAACATAGTCCACAACGTGGCGGACTATCAACGGAACCTCATTGTCTGGATGTCCTCCCTGCTGCAGCTCATCAAGTGGAATTCCAAATATTTTGTTAGCAAGAACGGAGTTGCAGTTACTCAAGGAAGGGGAGGAGCTCTTCCTCATATCTTTTTTGCAGCCAGAAATCAAAGCTGTCTTTTCTGCCAAATGAAAGACAAAAAAAAAAAAAAAACTATAATGATTAACAGGTGGCAATATGACTAAATACATTAAAGAAAAATGCTTTACTCCTGAATGTGCGCTATTTAAATATGTTCTAGTAAACCAGGTCCACAGTTAAGCATTTTCTTTACCATGAAGTTAGTTCTGAATGTTCCCTTCAGTGTTTGCATGTTAACAATAACAGCAAAATCGGTCATCCAAAATTTAGACAGGCACATTAATTTCCCAAAGCTAAATTAAGGGGCAAATGTGACTCCAAGGGGACCTTTACTGACCACGCTTGTAACAACACAAGAGAAAATGCCAAGACCAATCCATTTCTGGACTCAGTTACAGGGAAGCTCATCCAATCTTTCAATAGATAAATACTCAAACAAGAAAGGATCACTTCCAATAAAGTGATTGGCCAAAACCCCCAGTTATAAATGATAAGCTAGTAAAAACAACATTAACAAATCTTTACTTCCATAAGACAACAGTTATAGTACATTTTTTATTTAAAAAAAAAATTTTTTTGCAGTTTTGGGCAACAATATTCAATGAGGTAAGTCCTTTCATCAACACCGTTGCTTCATAATTATTCATTTAAATTGGGAAGAATCAATTAACTGTGATCAGCAAAGAAAAATAGAAGAAAATAATGAAATTCTAGTATCTAAAGCATCCAATATTAAAAAAAAAATAAGAAAACTTGTTTTTAAAAACTGACAATAAATATGACACCAACTGGTCTTTTCTTACCACCCCATAGAAACACTTCCCTTCTCATTAACAGTGAAGGACAACTGATGACAAACATAAATCTACTCAAAATTCTAAACTTTACAAAAAGAAGGCCTACTTGAGCATGTGTATACACAAGGGATCAAGAGAGCATCACAATATGAGCAGAAAAACAATCCAGTTAACTAATAGGAATAGCAGGAATTAACCAAGGGACAACAAATGCCATAAATGTGCAGGCTTAAGCAAGCAGCATCCATGCTTCAACAATTCTGTGCAAATAACTATGAAGTCTCAAGTTAAATAATCAAATGGCAGCTGTAAGAATAAATCATGTGTTTTTAAAACAGGGGGTGGTTACAGGGAACAACTTAAGTTTCACAGAGCACAGAATAGCTACCATTTTGGAAACTTACCTTTGAGTACTTAAACGCCTAAGTTTAAAAAACGGCTTCTGCACCTGCTACCCTCACTGAGCAAGCATTCTCTTGTCATTTATGGCTGTTTGAGATTATGGCAGAAGATCAGCCTGTAGTTCCTCATTGAAGAAACGCAGAACTCGATCAGTACCTCAGCAGTTAATCTAGAAAAAAAGAGCAATTATTTTAGTTTCTCAGAACACTTTCACCTGTGAGAAGACAATAAAATAATGATTTAGAGTGCTTTCTATAATGAAAGGCATTCCTTTGCTCAAGACTCTGTAATGACTCTTGATGATTCCTAAAGGTTTCAGTTAGCAGGGCTGAGTCTCTATGCTGCTGATCAACAAAGGGATGACAGATGGGGAGAGCTGACATCTTCACGAATTGCATATTCTCCCTACTCCATGAGCCCTTTTGTACACACACCCTACTCCAGAACAGCACATTTCCTTAAAACTCAAAATTAAACTTTCCAGGAGATCAAAGACTCAAAGATAAACTTCAAACTTGGAACTGCACTTGTGTTCCTTTACTTTCATCTCTTTGTTTATAACATTGTTCTTTCTGAGCTTTCTGATTTACAGAAGCTAGCAGGACATCCAGAAAAGCACAGGAAAAAAAAAAAAAGGAAAGGCTCACATTAAAATGCCAACTCCACCACTTTGTAAATAAATGAACCTGAACACTTTCTGTCTCTGAGCCTAGATTTCCTTATATAAAAAGCAAACTGATAGCTATACAGCTAATTTTCACTCCTGTGTGGGAGATCCAAAAGCTGCTCCTGGCTCCTGGCTTCAGATTGGCTCTGCTCTGGCCATTTCGTCCACTTGGGGAATGAATCAGCAGACAGAAGATATTTCTCTTGCCTCTCCTCCTCTCTGTATATTTGACTTTGCAATAAAAATACATTTTTTTTATAAAAAGACCTGATACTTATCTAAAGGGCCCAGACATTTTCCTTCTTTTGTTCTCAGAGCATATGTTTCTTTAAGATTTACCTAAAAGGTAGAATTAGAGACAGAGAAACTTAGAACAAGGGATCTTCCATCCACTGGTTCACTCCCCAACTGGCTAAAAAAAGTGACATTAAAGTGACACTTTTCACACAGTTTTGGAGGACAGAAGTTAAAATCAGGGTGTCAACAAGGGGCCATCTCCACTCTGAAGGTTCAATGGGAGAATCCTTCGCCTCTTCCAGTTTCTGGCAACTGTTGGCACTCCTGGGCTTCTGATACCATAGCCTTACTTTTGTCATTATCTGCATGTGGTTTTCTTCTGTGCCTATGTTTGTTCTGCCCTCAAAGCCAAGAGAAAAGTAACACTTTACTGTCATTCAGTTTGAGGTAATTTGCTATGGAAGCTCTAGAAAACTTAATGTCATGTTTAAATTTTTTTTAAAGATTTATTTTTATTATTATTTTTCTTATTGGAAAGGCAGATATACAGAGAGGAGAGACAGAGAGGAAGATCTTCCGTCCGATGATTCACTCCCCAAGTGAGCGCAACAGCCGATACTATGCCGATCCAAAGCCAGGAGCCTCTTCTGGGTCTCCCACGCGGGTGCAGGTTCCCAAAGCTTTGGGCCGTCCTCAACTGCTTTCCCGGGCCACAGGCAGGGAGCTGGAAGGGAAGTGGGGCTGCCGGGATTAGAACCGGCGCCCATATGGGATCCCGGGCGTGCAAGGCGAGGACCTTAACCATTGCGCCACTGCGCCACTGCGCCGGGCCCTGTCATGTCTAAATTACAACAATAAATTCTCAAGAAAGGGGCTCCTATTGTGGCATAACACGTTAGGCTGCCATTTGGGACACCCATACCCCGTAGGAATGCTAGTCAGAATCCCAGCTACTCAGCTTCCAATAACACTTCCTAGTAGGGCATTGGCACAATGAATGGCTCAACTGGCTAATCTTCAGCCTTCTAGTTGCGGGATCCCACACGGGCTCTGGTTTGCGTCCCAGCTGCTCCATTAGAACCTCCTGACTTTGGATTGGCTCAGCTCTGACCCCGACAGCCACATGAGGGGTGAACAAGTAGATAGAAGATAATGCCCTCCCTCACTCATCGGCCCTTTCACTCTGCCTTTCCAATAAGAAAATGGTAACGAGCACCACAGAAAACTGACCCAGAGAGATCTCAGGAAATATCCTACCAGACAGAATCAACAAATGACAAAGAAAGTAGTTAAGTCAAAGGTCTGATACAAGAGAACATCATAAGCAGACTTTCAAAGCAAACAGATTTCCAAAACCAGACTGTCACTATCAATCACAAAACAGAAACTATTTTAAACACAAGCAACAATTTCTTAGCATTGTGGTACTGAAAAATAGTAAGAGGACCCAGGGCAGTAGCGTAGCAACTAAAGCCCTCGCCTTGCACATGCCAGGATCCCATATAAGTACCAGTTCACATTTTAGCAGCCCATTTTCGTTCCAGCTCCCTGCCTTTGGCCTGGGAAAGCAGTCAAGGATGGCCCAGGGCCTTGAGACCCTGCATCTGTTTGGGAGAAGACCTGGAAGAAGCTCCCAAGCTCCTTGCTTCAGATCAGTTGAGCTCTGGACGTCACGGCCACTTGGGGAGTGCCAGCAGAAGAAAGATCTTCCTGTCTGTATTCCCTTTTCTCGGTATATCTGACTTTCCAATAAGAATGAATATACCTTAAAAAAATAGAATAAGAATTCATATTGAATTCTATATCCCATATTTTGGTATAAGAAAAAAACAGATGAAAATAACAGAATTAGATATATATCAATAAAGCCAGGTAGTAGGTACAGTCAGGAAAACCACCTATATAACAACGAACCTGAGCTCTGCTGAAGAGTAAGGTATTTATGCGCTCTATTCAATTTTATTTCTATTAACACACACAGCTTTCTTAACCATATAACACAAGATTATATAAGCTTATATAAGCATTACATAAATGTTTATATTTATGTAACATACAACAAATAGCATATAGCATAATAATAATATGCTCCATTTCCCATCCAGCTCCCTGCTTATATGCCTAGAAAAACAGCAGAAGCAGCATAAGTTCTTCACTGCACCCACAAGAGGACTCAGATGAAGCTGCTAGTTCCTACTTCTGACCCAGCCCAGACTCTGCCATCGCAGCCACGTGGGAAGGGAACCAGCATAAGGAACATACTTCCTTGACTACTTCCTAGTGCCCAAAACTCTACATTCCACATCTTTTTCTCAGGAAAAAAACACACACACACATTCAATACATGCCTGTATATTTCTTTTTTTTTTTAAGATTTATTTTTATTATTTTTTTTATTGGAAAGGCGGATATACAGAGAGGAGAGACAGAGAGGAAGATCTTCCGTCCGATGATTCACTCCCCAAGTGAGCGCAACGGCCCGATGCTATGCCGATCCGAAGCCAGGAGCCTCTTCTGGGTCTCCCATGCGGGTGCAGGATCCCAAAGCTTTGGGCCGTCCTCGACTGCTTTCCCAGGCCACAGGCAGGGAGCTGGATGGGAAGTGGGGCTGCCGGGATTAGAACCGGCGCCTATATGGGATCCCGGGGATGCAAGGCGAGGACCGTAACCACTGCGCCACCGCGCCGGGCCCATGCCTGTATATTTCTAAAGTAATTAAACAATCTACTGGTACATTACACAGAGCAAAAATGACATGAACTGCACATTTTAGGAAAAATTTCTGTAGCATAGTGATTTAACCCACGCCCTGCATGCAGCACCAGCATCCAAAAACACCAGTTCAAGTCCTAGCTGCTCCACTCTCATCAACATCCCTGTAAAGCATCTGAGCAGCAGATGATCCAAGTACTTGGGCCCCCTGCACCGATGTGGGAAATCTGGAAGAAGTTCCCAGCTCCTGGATTATCCTGACCCAACCCTGGTGGGTCAAATGGCCATAATTTCTTTTTTTTTTTTTTTAAAGATTTATTTTTATTGTTTTTTCATTGGAAAGGCAGATATACAGAGAGGAGAGACAGAGAGGAAGATCTTCTGTCCGATGATTCACTCCCCAAGTGAGCGCAACGGGCCGATACTATGCCGGTCCGAAGCCAGGAGCCTCTTCCGGGTCTCCCACGCGGGTGCAGGATCCCAAAGCTTTGGGCCGTCCTCGACTGCTTTCCCAGGCCACAGGCAGGGAGCTAGAAGGGAAGCAGGGCTGCCGGGATTAGAACCGGCGCCTATATGGGATCCCGGGCGTGCTAGGCGAGGACCTTTAACCACTTGCGCCACCGCGCTGGGCCCCGAATGGCCATAATTTCTTATGAAATTACTCCTAAGTGGGCATCCTCGTGGGAGTGAAGCAGCAGATGAAAGATCTGTCTCTACCTCTCTATGTAATTCTTCCTTTCAAGTAAATAAAACAAATTTTAAAAATACATAACAAATTAAACAGAAACAATACGTCTAGTATTATATATGTACTTTTTTAAAAAGATTTATTTATTTTTATTGCAAAGTCAGATATACAGAGAGGAGGAGAGACAGGAAGATCTCCCATCCAATGACTCATTCCCCAAGTGGCCACAAGGGGAGGCCAGGTGCCAGGAACTCTTCCGGGTCTCCCACACAGGTACAGGTCCCAAGGCTTTGGGCCATCCTCGACTGCATTCCCAGGCCACAAGCAGGAAGCTGCATGGGAAGCGGGGCAGCCAGGATTAGAACTAGCACCCTGAGATCCCAGCATGTACAAGGCGAGGACTTTGGGCACTAGGACACCACACTGGGCCTTATTATGATTTTCTATTAAAATTGCACTAACACTGCTAAATAAATCAGTTTTTCCCACACAATACTAACATAATCATCAACCCTTTTTAGAAAATACAACTGAAAATACAAAATTATGTAAGTATACATACATAATAGCAAACACATATTCCAAATAGTCAAATGACCAAGTCAGATTTACACAGAGGAGACAGAGAGAAAGAGATCCTCCACTCTCCAAATGGCCACAACAACTAGAGCTGAGCAGCCAATCTGAAGCCAGCAGCTTCCTGCAGGTCCGTGCAGGTGCAGGGTCCCAAGGCTTTCCTCTACTGCTTTCCCAGGCCACAAGCAGGGAGGTGGATGGGAAGTGGAGCAGCTGGGACATGAACCCGCACCCATGTGGGAGCCCAGCACATCTAAGGCAAGGATTCAGCCATTGAGTCCTTGCAACA